AAAATGGTCTATAATTTCGCGATAGAGCCGTACGGGATTACTCAAAAATTCGTGAACAGTTCCCCCTGCTAAAAATCCCCCCCCGCTAACAGACCAGTACCAAAATTGGCTCGGAGCAGGCTGCAAGCTAATTGTAAATTCCTTTGAATTCCGGGCATAACTTTGAAAAATTCGTGCGAAAAAGTTCGCCGAAATTGATGGAAAAATGATGGGCGACTGCCTGGTGGTCGGGATGGTGTGGATAATTGGTCGACCACCATCCACGCGACACCTACACAGCTGCGAACAGTCTGCCCGTCCACCCGAAATAATTGAGGCCGGAAATCGCGGAACAATTCCCTCACTCAAATTTGTGGGAGCCGGGACACATTTTTAAAAAACGCGCGAAAAAGGACCCTGGCAGCTAGGAGTTTCACCTACAGCAGAAAAATTAAAAAGTATCAGAAATCCGATCTCCAAAAAAGCAAGAAAATTAAAGCTTGATGATTAAAGCCGAAAAACTAAAGCCCGTATTTGAGAGGTGAGGCCCAAAATCCATTTTCCTTGCGCAGCAATCTTATTAACGCTAAATGGGCCAAATTGACACTGGGGGCCGGAAGCAAGAAACGCCTCAATGACGAATTTGTAAAAAAATAAGAAGATATCGCCTCAAAAATGAAGCCGGGAAAAGTCGGATCAGGCTAATCGATACCGGAAAAAAGAAATGTTGTAAGCATAATTCACAACCTCTTAATGGAAGGAAGTTAAAGGATGCCGAGACTAGAAACGGAAAAAAACGACAACGAAAAGCGGAAGAATATACTTGCAGCCCGTAATTTAATGCTTGACGACACTACCCGTAAAATGGCTCTGATTATGCAGGGATGGAAGTGAGAAGCCGATTACCTGCTGAGGAAGCAACAAGGAAATAGAGGTAGGGAGAGAGAGAGAGAGAGAGAGCGAGAGAGAGAGAGAGAGAGAGAGATGCGACAAACACGGAAATCCATTATCCCCTACCCTAAATTGAAATTTATGTAATCGGTCTAATCCTCAAGGCCACAAATACTGGTACATTTCCGGTGTCTGGCACATTTGAGCCTAAGACAGAAAGTAGGGATTCCGAAGTTATAGATATCCGAAATGCGGAGGCCATCTAGATTTAAAACCACTCACTACAACAATATGGCCCATCCATTGCCGGTTGGGTCGAGAGAGAGAGAGAGAGAGAGAGAGAGAGAGAGAGAGAGAGAGAAAGAGAATGCGTGAAAATCTATAACGGGCGATGCTTTGGAATAACGAGTGAATAGAAAAGAGCCTAATCCGGACGCTGGGGGGATACAACAGCCCTATTGCCAGACGTGTGACGCCGATGGCGAGACGCAGAAAATTTCTAGAATCTCGATTTTCCGACTAAAAAAAAGATCATAAAACTGAGGGAAAGATAGCAGAGATCCTTTAAACACCAAATTTATGGTCTTCTATAAAATATAGAACCAAAAAAAATATGAAAAAAATCAGAATTACGAGTAAACTATGAAAATCTTGTAAGATGCCAAATTCATCATATTTTTAAAAAACGACGACAGCATATGCTAGTCCTCCTTTGTCGATCAAAAACGATCTAAACGGCTATAAAAATTCCTACAAAATACGCCAATACGCTCAATTAATATACACTAAATTCCCCCGGAGAAATCCTATCCCATTGTCATCAAAAAGGCAGAAAAATGGAGATGAGGTCGGTGCGGGGCAAAGGGCCGGAAGAAATGGAAGAACTGGGAAGAGAGAAGGGATGCGGATTAGTCTTGATGCCCCCGCCATTATAATATTTCCCCGACTTCCCGGTCCTCTGGAATCTGATTAAAAACGTCGCCCTAGCATCAACATAAAACGAAAAAATGTCGAGAATTTTTTCTATCAGACTAGAAATCTAACTATCTAAAACTTTAAAACAATCAAAGTCGTAATTTCCGCCAAAAATTAGCCATTTGTTCGAAAATTCGATATATTTCGTATTTCTAAATAAAAAATTGTCAAGTTTTTAGGTTTAGGATGAGGAAAAAACAATTATAAACACTTCTGCTATTTATATTTGAAAAATGGATCCTAAAAAAAACTTGTACCCCCGATATTGGAAAAGAACCTAACCTCCGAACATTTTATTCGAGTTACAAGGTTTCAACAATAAATTTACTTTTTTAAATAAACCTAACCATTAGTATCGAAAAAAACGCAGAAAATCATCGAGGAAAAGCAGTCGTGTCTAATATCCAAGGTCCCACAGTGGAGTCGATTTCCGATTTGAAACCTGCAGCTATCCAAACGTTGTGCGGTTGTTGGTACGTTGGTGCATGATTAATGGTCAAAATCGAGGGGGTAGTAACTTTTTAAAAATGGATTAAAACCATAAAGGTAAAGCCACATAGATTATCAGTAGTTCTAATCTTCGCACCCATTTTTTATGAATTAAAGCTTCAAAAAATAGAGAAACCCAAAAACTATACCAAGAATTATACTGACTCTTCAAAATAATATTTTAAATAATTTTAAGCATAAATCGTACCAAATTTTCGAAAAAAATCTAACGTACTTTTCAGAATAATCGACTCCAAGCGAGGCGTTGCCCGATGTCGTCGAGATCCGCTTCTCGAGGCGGTGAAGGGCGCGGTGGATGGGGCCTGAAAAAATAATTAATTATGACCTTACTATTAAGTTGGAAATTATTGACATTATTGTGAAAACGTAGCGAAAAACGAGCATGGGACAAATGTGCCGGAATCGACCCGCATAAATCAGGCATGCTCTTATCACCTCTCACGCCAACTACACTTTTTGATCGCCTCGCACCTAGTATACATAAATGGAGCCTAACGAAACGCCTACGCACACGCCAAAAGACGTCTTATTCTTACTTTACAGTGCCTTTAAAATTCCGTTAGACTACAAAGAACATCAATGGAAACTACAGACTACGAATGAAACAAAAACGCGTCCTAATTCCACTAAAGGGACGGGCAAACGAAAGTGATTTACGATCGATTACGCAATGGAAAAGCCAGCGTGCGCGAGGTGTGTCGCGGGTGTAACATAATCTATAAGGAAATTATTTGATCTTTCTAACAAAAATGGGGCCTAAGGAAAAGGCTACGCACACGCCAAAAGATTCTGACTTCACAGGCTTTTAAAATTCCGTTTCATTGCAAAGTACAGGATAAATATTCAAAAATACGCTTCCTAGTTCCTTTAGAAGACTGGGACCCTGCTAATATAAATGGAGCCTAACAAAAAGCCTACGCATACACCAAAAGACGGTAGGCTACGGCTTTCGAGTGCCTTTAAAATTCCGTTTGACTGCAAAGAACGCCGATGTCTTGAAAAATTCGCTTCCTAGTTCCTTTAACTCTAACTTTTCTACCATAAATGGGGGTCTAGAAGCGGAAAAGCGTCCGGAAAAGCCTACGCACACGCCAAAAGACGGCCTATTCCGACTTTACAATCCCTTTAAAATTCCCAAAAAACAGGTCCAAAAAATACGCTTCCGGATTCCTTTAAAACCGCTAGCCCAAAACGAATTACAAAAAGTCCATTTAAACCGACGGGTTTCCAAGAATCAGCCACGGCACACGGCACAACATTCCCGAGATACGCTCCACGGTGGTTTCGATTTTTATTCAACGAGAAATGTGACAACGAGAACATGTTAATATCAGGGCGACAACAACGTTAATAGCGGGAGAAAAAGGGAGGATAAAATAAAACGCAGCGAAACGAACGGTGTCCAAAAAAAAACGAAAAGAGCAGACTAATGGGCCCAAAAAGCACACATACAAACACAACCCCTAAAAAGAGAGGAAAAAGACAGAGAATAAACGATGTGCGCCTGTGTGTGTGTGTGTCAACCGGGGCAACGTGGCTGCCGGCTGAAAAGCGGCACCGGAAATTATGGGAATATAGCTGCTGGGCCGAAATTGGGGCCGAACATCATTTTTGCGGGGCGGCTACACGACCATTTGTCAAAATCAGCTCCTAAAATACGCTTTTCCAAGAGGGGATGGTGCTAAATTTGGAACAGGATTTTTCGGACGGCTGTGCAAAAATAGAACGATTTTTTAGACGCCTGAATTTTCGGCCTTTTTAAAGGGACGCGCAAGTCGGGGCTATGGATTTTGTTGGCATTGGATTTCCTAGATACTTTCTGAGCTTGCGGGGCGCTACGTTCACGTAAAAATAATTTGAATGCGTGATGGATTATGACTCTTTGACGCGTTGCGTACCGCGGGTTGGAGATTCCATTTCGTAATCAGGTACGAAGATAGGAGCGTTGCGTATCGCCAAAAAATCTATCTATGTTTGAATTCCCAATCCCTGAAAGGGCCGGGCCAGGCAGCTTGGCTACGAATTTCGCCATAACCGCGACACGCAACGCAGAGTATCCAATGTCATTGCGCAATTGGTTAAGGAGCTTTGCCGCGTTGCGTATCGCGGCTCGGCGGTTCCATGTCGTAATTGGTCACGTAATGAGGAGCATTGCGTACCGCCAGCGTGGCAAAATCTATCGCGAATCTCTAGCCAAAAATTCATATATTTCGATTTTTCGAACTTGCTGGTCCCATTAAAATCAAACCGGCCGGCCAAAAAGTCTAAAAACCGCCCGGCGCGAGGGAGCGCGGGGAGCCGCGCGATAGGGCACGAGAACTAGAGGGGAGGATGTGGGGGTGGGGGGAGGACGAGCCGACGAGATCCGCATGGCTGATACCCTAGCAGGAGCATGAGGAGGAGGAGATGGAGAATGAGGAACGGGAAGTGGGCGAGAATCGTTGCTGTGGGGCAAATCGGCGCCCCGGGCGCGTACAGTCGCGTAGCGCAAAACAAGAAAATTGGCCAAATAGGCCGAGAGGGAGGGGGAAATAACGGGGAGGGACTACAATGATAGAAACATGAGACCAATAGACACACACATCGAGAGATACATTTTTGGGAGTAGGAAATTCCTGGGTTTCGAAGACTGGGCTCGACTCCTAGTCCTTCCACAGCTTCAGATACGCGTCTTCGGCAAACGTGGCGATGATGTTCTGGTGCGGGTGGTGGGCCAGGCCGACGACGTGCGCATCGGCAACCTAAAAAAAGTCGTTTCAATAGATTAGAAAATAAAATAAAATTAAGCGCATTATCGGGGGGTCTATTTTTTATATAAACAGTGTTTCTAAACTTTTTTATTATTCTATGGTACAAAATTTACAAATTTTCATTAAAATGTCCATTAAAAAAAAACAGATTTCTCGGCAAAAATGGGATGAATTCGGCTCAACATTTTTTATCATTTAAAAAAATTGTTTGTCACTTTAAATATCGTTTAATTTTACTAAAAGCACTATTAAAAACACGACAATAGGCACAGGTTTTATGGGAAAAATACCCCCTGATAATCCGAAAGAAATATACAACGAGCTCGCCCGTTAACTATGTGCTACTTTTAACTATCTGTTTCAATTTCAATTTCTACCATTCCAAAGATAAAAAAATACCCACCGGAATCGTGCTCTCCAGGTTTCCGCTGAGCGTGTAGAAGCAGTACAGCGTCTTGTCCTCGGCCACCGCGTACGCCCACTCGCCACGCCCCGACAGCGCCAGTCCCACGAATTCTCCGCCCTCGCGCTTTCCCGAGTTCATCGTGCGCACCACCTAGAAACGTCAAATTAATGATTTAAATTGTAATAAATTAAAAAATTTAATTTTCAGAAACAAACCTGTCCCTGGAGGTTGACCACGTAGAGCCTGCTGCTCCGATTGCAGATGACGAACGTGTCGGTCTTGGGGATTTGGATGACGTTGTGGATTGGGACGTCGCCTCAAAAAACGACGTTAAGCAGAGATTAGAAAGTAGATACAATTTAAATTAAATTAAACATAAAAATAGAGCAAAGTACTCGTTTTCTGCAGATTTTTAATAACCTAATAAAATCCTAATAATCCTAATTAAGTATTAAACAACAAAAGGCACACCTTCAACCCGGAACGTCGTTTGCGATTCGCCCGTCTTTGTCGACCAAATTCGCACGGTTCCGTCGGCCGATGAGGACAACTGGAAAAGGGTGCTTTCGCATTATCGGGGGGGACGAATTTTGTCAAAATTAGCGAGTGTTTCTAAAGTTTTTTTTGCTATCAAACGTTAAAACATTACAAATTTGTGTTCCAAATCGAAAAATCAACGAATTCTCGAATTTTTCTAGCAAAATCACTCCCAAAAAACGTACGCAAATATTCTGATCCTCCGCATATCGGACGTCCGTAACGAACGAGCTGTGTCCTCGCATCTCGCGCAGACATTTCCCGGATTTGAGGCCGAAGATTCTAAGGAAAAGCATAAAATGAGATTCGAAAAGCCTACTTGACGAGCGTGTCGTTGCTGCCGGATAGGATATGTGAATTGTCCTTGGAGAAGCGTAGCGCAGAGACCGGGCCAGAATGAGCAGCGTCATATCGTCTCAGGCATTCGCCAGTTTGGATTTTCCAGACCTAAAAATTTAAAAAATTGTAGTTTCATGTATTAAATTCCAAAATTAATTTTCCACCTTTCAAGAGAATCGTAAAAATCACGAAAGCCGTAATAACATCCGAAAACTTCTCAAATTTCATCTTGCTATCCAAAAATTCGTCATTCCAACGAAAATACAAACCTTAATCGCCCCATGCACGGAGCCCGAGGCCAGCATCTCCGAGTCGCGGCTGAACGTCAACGCCGACACGCCCTCGTTCATCATCATCAGGTTGTCCTGCGCCTAAAAATTTGAATTTATACATCCTACCGCAAGGTTCTCCGAACCTGATACTTCAAATCCTTCCTCAGCTTGCCGTTCATGAAGTTCCACACCTCGATGAAGCCGTCCTTGGAGCCGGTCACCAGGAATTGGCCGTCCGGCGAGAAGATGGCGCTCAACGGGTACGAATCTAAGAAATAGAACATTTTAAAGTTAGGGTCTTCAGTTTTAAAGTTTAAAAAAATTTGTTTTTTTTAAAACTCACTAGTTCCAAATTTGATATGGCGGGCCAGCTGGGTGGGGTAGTGCTCTTCTTCTTGCTCCTTCATTGCCGCCTTGCCGCGGAACAGGTCGATTTTGGTGCCTAAAAACGGAAAATAAACAAGCATTACCATTTAAGTCAATTTTTCGATTTTATATCGCTTAGAAAAATTCCCATGTTTTCCCAAGGCATACAAATACGTAAAAATTCGTTACCCGGAGGAAGCAGGCCCTGATGCTGCTGCCATTTGAGCGATTGCTGCAGGAGGGCGAGCAGACGTGATGGAGCGACAACGTTCACCTGAAATCGGAAAAATAAAAACAGCTTAAAAAACCCAATCACTCGAAAATGGCTATTGGGAGTAATTTATCCTAGTTAAACGCTGAATTGCAGTAAATTACTCGTTGCCACCTAATTTATCAAATATAGCGCTTTTTAATTTAATTTTTGATTATTTGAAACCACATCTGAAAAAGACTCGAAAATCATGAATTCGAAATACGCTACGTCAAACTACGCACGCAAATTTTGCAGCCTTTTCGCACTCTACGCCACTACAGCGCGTAAATTACGCTTAAAAATGTCGAAGAATGGATTCTAGTAGAAACTCCCATTTCTTAAATTTTTACCAACAAGATAAATAAAGCTAAAAACCTACATCAGCCGACAATGACTGCGCAATCTGCTGTCGGCGCTTCTCCTTGTTCGTCCCATCCGGGTAGGCCTCACGCGGGTCAAAGTACGAACCGCCCGGCCAGGTTCTCGATTCGCGCAAATCTGAAAGAAACAGGTTCTTCCATTACGCAAAAAATCCCACCTGGTGGCGTCCATTTGCTTGAGGAGGATCATCGGGTCCGTTTGGCGCAAGATCAGTCGCACCGTGCCCAGCTCGCGCATCTCGATCAGCTCGAAGACAATCTGAAAAAATATATGGATAAACTGGTTCCGAGAATTCATTACCTGCTCGTACAGGTCGATCAGCTTCTTGGCCGGGATTTTGAGGGGCTGGATCATCTGGAAAACGCTTGTTTTCTGCGGTTGCCCGACGCTATTTTTACAACCATATCTTAAATAGCCTTTTTAACTATGTTTTCCTGTAACTTAAAAGCGTAATAAGCTACATCTACTCATTTGGTATCGAAAAATATAGCAAATAATAAACTTGATTTAGCCAGCCTTTTCAAATTATTTTTTCCAGTAATTAAGAGGTAATAAGAGACGCCTAGCCATTTCTATTATCTAAAAGCCGTTCAAAGCGTCGAATTCAAGCTGTTTCACCTAAAATTTTGGGCCGAAACTATCCTAAAATCGTTTTACGCATTTTATCGAAAATTGGAAAACTTTCGAATATGGGAAAATGAACAATACCTTCAGCACAAGGTCCCAATGACCGGAGCTGATCTCGCTGATGAAATAGTCGAGGTTGTCCACCGTGTTCAGCGAGATGTTCGTCTCTTCCTGAAATTGGGAATTTTAAACATTTAAAATATCTAAAATTCCTTCTAAATAGAGGATTTTCAATTAAATACCTGTAACGCCGCAAAGGTGCGCATCAAATTGTTCTCTTTCAGGTACTGCTGGATCAGCCGGACGACACTGGAAGAAAAAAAAGAAATGAAAAGCGATAGAACGGGAAAACTCACTCGGCCGCCTCGATTTCGATCGACGTCATTGTTGATGATCTGGAAGAAAAGGATTTAGGATTTCAAACGATCTACAAAGCCATACAACGAAATAAAAGAAAATAAATATCTTAAAACCACCATTCCCAAAATAAAAAATGGCTAAATTAAACCAGATTCCCCGCAACGTGCCCGAGTTTTCCGCCTCAAACGACAAATCTTTATTCCGAGAAGGGAAAGGACAAGATTTTAACGAGTCGCCAAAAAGGGTTTTTAGCCAAACCCGGAAAAAAACAGGCCTTACTATCACCGCAACCAGTAAGAAGAAGGAATAAAAGGGATGGAAAAAGACAACGAGCCGAGACGGAGCAAGTGCAATAAATATGCTTAATGAATGAATGGGAGGGTAAATCGCTAAAAAAAGACAGTAACTTTTAGATGAGAATGAGGTTTTGCAATGCTACTTAGCATATTTGATAAAAAGCTTGAAATTCTGAACAAATCCTAAGTCTTAAAAACCATTAAAATCATTTCAGTTGGTATTCGTCAAAGAAAGGGCCTTTCAGAGCAAATCCAGTTAATATTTTTTTTGTTAAACGGCTAATAATCGGCAAAATCGGTCATTTCGGAGCAAATTTTCTAAAGCCTATATTTTTTTTGTTAAACGGTTAAAATCGGAAAAAGCCGGCCATTTTAGAGCAAATTTTCTCCATAATAAAAACCGCTTAGCATTTTCTTAAAAAGCGGGTTATCTTCAGAATTTCAAGCTCTATCGAATAAGCTATAGGTCACATCGCAAAACGTCATTTTCACCAAAAAAAAACTCTTTTTAAGGGAAACGATGGGATTTGGCTTCAAGAATTCTTTCATACAAAAAAAACACTCACAGAGACAGGAGGCGAATAAATTATTGGGAGATTCCCAGGCGGGGGGTGATGGGTGTTTACAAGAGAAATGGCAAAGACTCGTAGATCACAAAATCAATCACGGCGAGACGATTCTGGTGGGTGGAGAGGGAGGGTGGGGGGAAATTGGTAATAAAACAGATATAATTATTTTTTTGGAGTGAGATGGGAGCATTAAGAAGAAGACCTTGTTACTGGTAGTAGCCCGTCTGCGGGGGTGGCGGGACGGCATCTGGAAAAGGTTGTATTATTATCAATTCTCCAGCATCTGTCCAGGTTCATTAATGGAGTCGTGATATCACTATCATCGAAAGAGCTATTAATGTCGATTCATACCCCTTATTATCTATCAATTTTCATTTTCTAATGGCGTAAAAGGTAAAATGTAAACTGTGTGTGTTGGTAAAAGAATAAAATGACTAGAAAAACCAAGAAAAAGCATAAATAAAGTCCGCGAGAATATATTTATTTATATAAAGTCTCCCTATTTTATACTAGACACGTTATTTTAAAATCTGGATTTTAACAAAATTGTATATATTTTTCAAGTGGATGAATAGCTAAAAACGCAATACTGAAATTTGTATATTCCAAATTATCGGAAAAACTTAAATAAACTAGAAAAAATAGAAGCGGATCTCGAATCCTAATTTCCGATTCACTCCAAAATAGGCCCAAATGATACTTTCAAAAAAATGCTTACTCTGCTGCTGGTGCGGGTAGTAGACGCCTTGCGGAGGGGCGGCCAGGTTGGAGATGCCGATCGACGACAGGGACGGCATCGGGAATTGGATGGGCGGTGGTGGGCCTCCGTAAGAAGTGGGTGGCATCGAGGCAACCGGAGCCGGAGGAGATGAGAACATGGCCGGCATCGGGGATGGAACGGCTAACAAAATCGTTTGAAAAAATCATGCACTTCTAACCGGTGTAAGCAGGCTGCTGCGGGGCCACCGGCGGCTGGTAGTAGTTTTGCTGGTAGGCGCTGGGAGGCGGTGGAGCCGGGGGATAACTGAAAAATAAATAAATTGAAAACAGGTGGTAAAAAATAAACCCCGAATTCCCCAAAGTACCATTATAAGAAGCAGGGGAGAAAAACATCTTTTCAGCCTTTTTATTTTGTTTATCCAATAATTCCCCAATACCAAAAAGTTATAAAAGAGTTTTAAGACCCAAAAGAGCTCAGAATTCCCGGGTTTGGGCCTTTTTACGCGCATTTCCGTTTGTATTTTTATTTTTTGTGCTAATAACACCGGCACGATACAGTAATAAAAGTAGGTTTTAAACATCTAAAAATTGAAAATTGAGATAAGATAAGAAACTGAGCTCTTTTTCACGTATCTTCGATCATTTATAACGGATTCTGATTCTTTTGAATAGTTACGGATACCAAAAATTCGTAAAAGCATTTTACGGACATCTAACTCTATATTGAAAATTCGTGATTTCGGGCGGTTTTCACGTAATTTGGATCAGAGCACAAAAAATAGAATACACCTTCCATGTTTCTGGAAATTACAGGGAACTAAATAACGAAAAATGTGCCATATTTCATCAGTTTTGTCGCTTGTATAAATTCTGTTTTTTTAAAAATATCATCAGATCAGAGTTCTATTTTTTAGGTTTTCTAATGCCTGAAAACCGCGTGCGAAACCACTAAAAACTCACGCAACACTGGTCGGATACTGCTGGGCAGGCGGGGCTTGTTGGTAGTGCGGCTGGGGGGTAGAAGCGGCCGGTGGCGGAGGCGGGGCCCAGCTTTGCTGCTGCTGCTGCTGAGGCGGCGGTGCGTAGACTTGCGGCGTCGGCGAGGGGGTGTGCTGCTAAATGGATGATAAATTTTATAAGAGAACTAAAATAACGAAAGTAGCAATTTTATTAAATTACCCACCTTGTATTCAACGGGACTGGGGCTATACCCCTGTTCGTGGGAGTGCCCGTGTCCGCCATGATCGTGAGAATGTCCGTGTCCGCCATCATCATGACTGTGTCCATGGCCACCTCCTTGGTCGTGCGAGTGGCCGTGGCCATTCTCATGCGAGTGCCCGTGCCCGTTGCTGTGCGCGTAGGTCACCTGGAAATGGTCTTTAAAGAGAAGGCCATTTGCAAACATTAAAAACACTGGATTTTGAATTTTTAGCTCATTAAAAACCAATAAAATTTTCTAGCGAAAATGCAGATTTTTCTCAAATTATCGCTATGACATGCATAATCTCTAGAAAATCTACAGAAAATTATAGAATGTTTTTGTCTTCACATCAAATTCTGCAGGGGCCCTGCTCTTTTTAAACCTCTAAAAAAACTTTGCCAGACACGCAAAATAGGATTTTTGCATTAAAAAACGTGCTTCAAATTTCCAATGAATCTTTGATAACTTTTCCCTCTTAATCTTACGATTTCATTAAACTTCAGCGTCATTAATTTATACCTCAGTAGGCGGCGGTGGCTGTGGAACGGGCTGCGGCACCGGGGCGGGCGTCGAATGGCCGGAGATGTTCATCTGCTGCGCCTGGTAGTTGAGCTAAACAAAAAATCCGAGAATCGGAAGATAGCAGTACCTGGTCCACCGAATATGGGGGCAACGGGGCAGGTGGGGCGGGCAGCGACGTCGTCATGTTCGGCGCCGGGGGCAATGGGTAGCCCTGGGGGGTGCCAAACTAAAAAAAAGAGGCTTTTTCACGAAATTCGAGCCGGCATACCTGATTTGGAGGCTGGGCGGCAAATTTGGACGGATCGGGGAATGATGGGGGCTGCTGTTGAGGGAGTACCTGGAAGCAATTTTTGTATAGGACTATTTAATTCTGAATTATCTGAACGTTGAATATATAAATCAAGTCAAAAGTTAAGCAATTTTATACCTGGTCCACCTGTGGGATGCCGGTGAAGCCGGCGGTCGGCGGCTGGACGGTAGCAGCCGATGGGGCTCGCTGAGGCACGGGACGCCCGGCAGGCCTAAAAAAGTTGTTGAATAGATATTGAAACATTTTTGCGTTTTAGTTTGTCGGCGAGGGCTTGAATTTTTCAAATTACTAAAAATCGCTAAAAACGTTTAAGTTTTCAAATTTTGGGCCAACTTTTTTCCATTTTCAGTTTGTCGAAAGTCGATATATTTTGTACATTTTCATAAAAACCCAGGTCTTGAGGCTTAGGGATAGTAAGAAATCTATAAAAACAATACTTTTTGTTAAATAACAAAAATCGGATCCTAGGAAACATTTTGCTTTTTCGTCAACAGGATTGAGCAAAAATTCCAGATTTTCGGCTTTTAGGCTTGAGTTTTTATAACTGAAACCGAAAACGAACCTCTCAGTGGAGAGCGGGATTCGATGCAAGTATCCGTATCCAATGTCGCATCCCAGGCATCCTTCGCCTCCCCAAGCCGAATTCGGGGTCAGCGTCACCTCGCGCACCACATCCGAATCGACGTTGTAGACGTACAACTTCAGCGGGCGGCCCTCGTTAGCCTGGACCAGGGCGGCCAAGTCATCGGCCTGGTTCAGCACCGATTCGGCGCCAAGGATGTAATCCGTGTCCGAAACGAGCCCTAGGAATAAACATTTTTCAGAAGATAGTGACTGCCCTTTTTTGCCTAAAAGCACAGATCTGCCTAGAAATTCAGAGATCTTTTTGGTACGGTCAATGTAGCTAGGTTCAGGTGGAAAAATCAAAAATTTTTGTAATTTTTGTAAAAAAATACAACGTTTGGGGGGTTATGCAGAGTAAAACAAAACACGAACCGGCAATGGAAGCTGGAGAATTCGGCTGCACCGACAGCACGTGCCAGACGTGTTGCGAGGCCCCGTCGAACGAGCAGAAGCGGATGGAGACGCCAAGAAGACCCTAAAACAGCCTTTTGATACAGGAAACGCAATATTCCTTATCAGAATCGCCAATTTACAGAATCGCGTATTTCAAGAATCTCGAATTTTCCTGATTCAGGGTTTCAAAAAACTTTTGAAATTTGAAACTTTTGAACTTCCGTGTTTTCGACAGGTTCGTCAAAAACCACTCTCACCTGGCCGCCCCACATATTCGAGGGGACGATGGTGGCCTGGCGGACGCTCTGGGTCTTGCTGTTGTAGACGGTGAGCTCGAGCTGCTTCTCGATGTGCTGCTTCAGCACCTCCTTCATCACGTCGTTGTCCTTGTCCTAAAAAGATTGGCACTCTTCCGCTGGGCGATTAAAACTGACCAAACGCGTGTTTCCGATGCAGACGATGTAGTCGAAGAAGGGCTCGAGACCGGCGTGCTGCCCGGGCGAGTTGTCTTGGACCTAAAAACGTGCGTAAAGGCAAGAATCTATATTCATAAAAAGTCTGATTCCAAAAGCTCACCCGCAGGACGTGGTAGCCCTCGGTGCCGCCACCCGGGATGGGCATACTCTCGCTCGCGCCCATGCTCTGTAAAAAAACGTAGAAATAAGTAATAAATAAAGCCAAGTGATTATGAAGAAACGGAGGACAGATAAACCCGGTCGGAAGAATCAGATAAGTCAATGCAGGAAGTCTAAAACAATCCAAATCGATAAAGTTTAATTTTCTAAGCATAAAGAGCCTAAACACCAACCGCCCACTAACGATTGATACAAGAGTTCGAGGTCATCTGAATCAAAAAAGGGTATTTCTAAAAAGGCAGCAATCAAAGTAGCATTAAATGGCCATAATTGAGCCGTAAAGCAACGTTCTAAAGTACTACTCAACATTTCAAACTCCTTCTAAAAACTAAACGAAGCTATCTTGAGTATCTTATAATCCAAACGACTAACCAATTGTCACAATTAATTTCTACGGTAACCTACGATTCAAAACGCAAGAGGTGCGCTAATCAAATTCACAGGGGTGCAACTTATAAATTCGAATTTTTAAATTTAATTTTTGGCAGCGCCAAAGATCGTCATCGATCGGGCCTAAAAGCTAGATAAAGTGCGCATAAGCTGCTGAATCATTTGACGAAGCTTTCTGCCAAAAATCGTGAACTGGCTGCCGGGATGAAGCCGAAAAAACCAGCTTTTCGCCGGCACCAAAAGCGGGCAACGTGGAAGAGGAACGGCCGCTGGGGAGCCGCGGCTTTTTGGTGAGGCGGTGTACGAGGCAGACACCAGAGACATTCCACCCTCACCACCCCGCCGACACACACGGGCATTACATCTGGGTGAAGCCCGGAAAACAGCTGATTCTATGGGCCTTTAGGATAATAAAATTTTATAGAACAGAAAAAGATAAAAGAATGAACGCTTTATATTCTGATTCGCCAAGGTTTGATTCGAAAATTTCATTAATAAAGCAAATCTAGCACCTAAACACTTTTTTTTTGTTAGGGCGGCCCTTGAAAGCCGGAAATGATTTTAGAAAAGACGTAAAAAGAAGAACGTAATAAAATATGGATAAGTTTTGGATCCTAAATTTTGTCGACAAGGTGGTTTCAAACTAAAGCATCGCTTACTACCTGGTTTTCTGTTTCTTACAATGATTATAAAACTTAAAAGTCGAGAGACAACGAATTTGACCTGAAATTAGACAAATTATGAGGCTAAATAAGTTAAATATTGACATTTTCGATTTTATTCACGATTTACCGTGATCTGATGTTAAATTCCTTTTGATTTTTATTTTTATACCCGCGAAAAACCCCAAATTTGGTCATTTTCCAGTGAATGTGAAGTGGCGACGATGCCGACGCATCAGACGAGCGACTGGATCGAGGCGACCGTCCATCGGCTCGCACATCGAGAGTTGTAAGTCGAGATTTCTTTTGTTCTAATTCTATTAAAAAAGTAATTGTTAACAAAATGTGGCTATCAACTTCAATTAGCTATAAGGATAACAGCGTTTAAATCTAGATACGGCAATCAGCACGAGGCGTTCGGCAACTTCCAAGTCTGGACCGACGACATCATCGAGCATCTCGGCGTGGCTGCGCGGCTTGAGGGGCACGCCGGCTGTGTGAACACGCTGCGCTGGAGCCACTCCGGAAAGTGGGTTTCGTTCTGGGGCGTTATCGCGGGGGCGAAAATATGTTTTATCTGTAGACCGACTTTTCTATGGATGCGGTAAAATTACATCTAAACTGTTATTAGAAAAATTTTATATCTATTTCTAAACGTCATTAGAAAGTTGTAACACTTAAAAATGATGACCGACTGTCCAAAACTTCTTTAAAATATAATTCTTAATTCATCAAAAATGTTTGTGTAACACTTTTGCACTCCGAAACAAGCAAAATAATAGAAAAAGATGAGCTATGCCTTCATTACTAGACTTGACGTCTAGTAATGTAGTAAATAAGTGGTTTTTCAAGGTACTATCTAATACTTGTTTTCTAGCCTGCTCGCTTCCGGTTCGGACGATCGCAAGGCGAAAATCTGGGGCTGCGACGGGCAGCTGCTGCACACGATTTCCACCGGCCACGACCACAACATTTTCGGCGCTGAGGTTTGTGAGCTATTTTTGATAGCAAAACCTTTTTGAAATAACTAGTAATCTTTTTTTATGTTATCTACTATATCTAAATTTCTACTGTCCGTGCGCACGACCGGGAATTCAGTCAAATTTTGCATTCAAATTCCAAATTCAAATTGCGGGGGGCGCGCTGAACCCCCGCGTAGCGGGGGGTCAGCGCTGGTTTTAATCTATCCTCATTTAGTTCATCCCCAACCACAACGATCAGCTGATTGCCACGTCGTCGGGTGACCACACAGCGCGCCTCCACAATTTGGAGTATAAGGACGAGGTAAAAACACCTATTTTTTCGGGTTTAGCGTATTTTAGTTATGCGTATGGCGCGCTGAGGGGCGGGTGAAGCGGCTGGCCACTGCTAATGATGAGGCGCATTTGTTCTGGTCGGCCAGCGAGGATGGAGCTATTAGGTTTGTGCAGAATTTCTTTCGAGAATAAAACATCAAAAACTAAATATACTATAAACTAATAAAACCTTGAACTGTAAAAAATGGAATTTTACAAGGTTTACAACGCTAAGAAAGTTACAAACGCTTTTTTTGGCTGTGTCAAATCTATCTCAAACTCTATCGGACAATCTTCTAAACCTGCCAAAGTTACAAGCATCGTTTTTAGACAAACTTTTAAACTTGATGACGTTAAAAATATATCGATTTTATCGTTAGAAATCCTCGATTTCGTCATTTTTTAGACAATACGACGTCCGCACAAACGATGAGACGAAAATCGTCGCTGAGCACGACTCGTACAAGTCGCTGGCCATTTGCCCAGGCCGCACCGAACTGCTTGCGCTCGCTTGTATTGAAGAGGTATTTTTTAAGAATAATTTTTAGTTATTTTCCTCTAGTTTTAATCTTTTAATCTTTCTTTTTGCAGTTCGTGCCCATCTACGATCGGCGGAACACGGCCAAGCAGTTGATGTCCGTGCAGCCAGGTATAATTTAATCTTTAGACAAGTTAGGAAATCACTGGCTTTAGGCGATTACAACCACGGGGACATGCAACGGCGCTACCCGACGCACGTCGGGTTCGACGAGCTCGGCAAGGAGCTGCTGGTTAATATGGGAGGTAGGGGTTGAGTTTAGCATCTCTCTCTCTCTCTCTCTCTCTTTTCTCTAGCTCGCTTTGTTTTTCCCTTATGTTTTCTGTAGAATTTTTCTCCTCTAAACTTAGGTTTTTTAGGCGGCTCGGTGTACGTGTTCGACATTGCTTCCCCTGAAGAATCTCGGCCTATGGTCTGGGACCAATTGGACAATGTAATTTTGTGTGATTTTATGACGAAATTTCCGCTTTAGATTCTGGCCGAAGATTGCGGTCCGCAGCCCCAGATAAAACCCACAGGCGCGGTCGCCGAGAAACGCGCGCTGGCCAAGCGATTCTTGGAGGAGAAGGCGTATTTGCGTGAGTTTTTGGGAGAGCATGAAATGAAGCCTTTGGTTCTTTTGCATTATCGGGAGTGGCTAGTTTTTCGCAAAATTTAACTATATTTTAAGTGGAAAAACTATCTAAAAACGCGAAAATTTTTGAAAAATCGAAAGTTTTGGCGAAAAACGGCAATTTTTAGTCGGAAATCTATATTTTTGTATTTTTAACCAAAATTTGTATTTTCTACGTATAGGAAGAGTTAAAAAGATACAAAACAATTCCTCTATCTTTATCAGAAAAATTGGGTTATTAGAAAAAGTTGCCCTCCCCCCCTGATAATGCAAAAGAAACATGCTTTTTATACGAAAAAAGCTACACTAATTTTAGCGGCCTACGACGCGTACAGCGCGGCGTTCATGGAATGCCCAGAAGAACTCGTTGATGACCGCTCGATCATGCTCGCCAATCGGGCGATGGTCATGCTGGCGCGGCAGGAAGATGGGGATTATTACGAGTGTGTCAGGGTAACTTTTGGAATCGAAACCGTAGCGCACAACCTTCTTCAGGACTGCGTGCGAGCCCTCGGTCTGGCCAAGGGCAACGCGAAGGCGCTGTATCGATTGACGCGGGCGCTGATTTTGCTGCGCCGTCTCGAACTCGCCAAGGCATGCGTCGAATTGTTTAAGTGAGTTGAAATTTTGGCGAAAAAAGGATCCAGAATTTTTTGTTAAATGTTAAAGCCCATTAACTATGTCTAGAAAACGCTTCCCCGACGACAAATCGTACGTGCAGCTCGAGAAGAAGATCGACGACGTGAAAAACAATCGCGAACGGATATGGTCGACTAGCAGGTACGTAAAAACGTTTAAAACGATAATTTTCGCTGTAGGGACTACAAGGAGCGCTATACGGCCCACCGCAACAACCACACCGACATCAAGGAGGCCGCGTTTATCGGGGGCAAAGAGGTAAAATAGTTATCGGGGAGACCAACTTTTTTTAAGGATCCAATTTTTCCAATAAAAATATAGGAATTATATCTAAGATCCTTTTTGCTAATCCTGAACGTAAAAACTTCACAAAATTTGATTACAAATACAAACACTCGCGATTTTTTGACCAAAAATGGCCGTTTTGGACCAAAAATCACTTAAAACATTTTGCGAGTTTTTTTGATTGTTTTGCCACTTAAAATATCGTCAAATTTTACTAAGAGCACTATTAAGATACTCCTCTTACGTTCCGGCTTTTCTGGTATTATAAAAAAAACTTGCTCCCCCGATAAGGCGAAAGATCTTCCTCTAAACGGAACCTTTTTAGGGCTGGATCGCTGCCGGCAGCGATTGCGGCAATATGTACATTTGGGAGCGGAAAACGGGTCGTCTTCGAGCAGGTATACGCTTATTTGCGCTATATTTAATTCATTTTTTTAGCTTTCAAAGCCGACGAGGACATCTTGAACATTGTACAGCCACACCCAATTTTGCCCCTCATCGCCACGTCGGGCATCGAAAAGGACATCCGCTTCTGGGGACCACTTCCCGAGGGCAAGGAGTCGGCCGAGAGGTTGGGAAATGATGAAAACCTAGTCAAGATAATTTAACTAAGTAGGACGGAGCTTTCGCGTTATCGGGGGGGGGGGCGTGAAATTTTCCTATCAATCTAAATTAAGTCTAGCAAAGAAAGAGTGTTTTCGCAGCGTTTTTAGTCAGGTTTAGCTATTTTTGAAGAGAAAAGCTGTTAAGACAAACTTAAAAACGAAGTCTGAAGGTTGCGATTTTTTTTAATATTCTTAGGTGTAAAAACGTCACAACTTGGCGTAAAAAGCACTAAAAAGCTAGATTTTTCCAAAATAATGGCCGATTTCGATCCAACTTTTAATTTTCAGATTTTTTATTGGGGTTTAAATATTTTTAGTTGAAAATATAGTTAAATTTTAATTGAAAAACGTGTATTTTTATTATTTTTTGAATTAATAAAATTCTAGACACGCCGACCCGTACGACGCGGTGATTCCGGCGGCCCGATCGGCGCACTACGACATGCTCGAGAGGAACCCCGTCCTGCTGCACTCTCTACAAGAAGGCATCCAGAGCGGCCGAGTCCAATGCGCCAATCAATAATTTGACGACATTAATTAATTTATGGGTTTTTCGGTTGTGCTACCGTCTTTCCCCCGATTCTCTTTTTACTCGATTTTCCCCTCGTTTCATCATGTACATAAAATTCGCCATTTTGTGATCTTTCTCGCATTCGATTTGCTAGTCTTGGATGTGGTACTGGACTGTTAGCGGGGGGCTAGATAATTTCAATTTTTTCGCAGATGAGCGTGGTCTATACAGTTCCGAGCAGAGAAAATGGACTTTTTTTGATAATTTTCATACATTTTTGAGAAAAAAATCGAAAAGTCGACATTTTTATAGGTTTTACGAGCATTTTATATCGAAAAACTAGGTAAAATGTGCGAAAAATTTTAAATTTTGCTATGAGTAAATTAGCCACCCTCCTGCTACAAGTACAGTACCTTTTATGTCACCCATAATCCCCCTATATTGCGAACCGTTAGGTGTTAGCACGCGCTAGTTTTGATGTCTTTTCGTGTCGAAACCAATAAAATGGGGGCAACCCCCACGATTTATTTACCCGTCACGCGTTATCCGAGAGCGTTGAGGAATGAGGCGAGGGAGGAGTCGGTCGTTTTCGGCGTTTCGGCGACGAGCAGCGACAGACGAGAAGCCTTCTTCTTTTTGGCCACCGACCGGGAGACCGAGCTCAGCTGGCTGCTGAAATAAAAAGGTAATACCAGAAGGTAGGAACAGATTGGTGTTTAAAAATAAAAGGTAGCTAAATATTGCTAAGCCTATTAGTAATAAAATATGGACATTTTCTACCGTTTTTTAGTGGATTCTGATGACTAAAAAACGCGAAAATTAGAATTTTTTATCATTTTCGGCCATTTTCACGAGTTTACGACCAAAAGCAAATATTCTTATAGTTAAAATCAGCGAAAATGTGATAAATTGGCTTGTAGGAAAAAACGAAAAATCTAAGGCCATCGTCCGCCGCTAACAGGAAAGAAGCAATGCAGCACACGAGCATCACGAAAAACCATAAAAACGAACCCTGGTGTTTGTTGGGTAAAGACGGGCGTAGCGAAGACGGGGCTGGCCGCAACTGACTCCTCCTAAAGAATGTTTCTAATTAAAAAATTTATGTGAACCGTAGCAACCGCCGCTTTTGGAGTCTTCATGACGCTCGACCGTTTGCGCCAACGGCTCGACTTGCAGACAGCACATTTCCTCTAAAAATCAATGAAATCAATTCGTTCGTAAAGAAATACCGTTGCCGTGGAGCTGGTGGTTGGTGGCTGTGGTTCTGAGGCGCTGGAAGTCGAAGCGGCGTACGGGAACCAGCAGTAGTCACAATGATCTGAAAAAGATGAATTTATTGCGAGAGGGAGAGAGAGAGAGAGAGAGAGAGGGAGAGAGAGAGAGAGAGGGAGAGAGGGAGAGAGGGAGAGAGAGAAATCAGTTACTCAAAAAAAACACCTGCACTTTTCAGGCTCTTCTTGATTTTGAGCGGAACGTCGGTAGTGGCCTGAGCAGAATCGTAGGCTCGCCGTGCACCAAACGCCAAATGCGCCGCCAAACTGGGAGGCCCACCGCGCATCAGCTCGCTGGCCCGTCGTAGAAATTGGGCCGTTTTCAGGCTGCCCTGGAAATGTAATGTAAAGCCTGAAGCGGAAGCTGAAACTATAAAAAATAAACGATTAATTTTCTAATAGAAAGAGGAAGTGTTTTTAAACTGTTTTTTCCTATCCCGAACGTAAAAATCTTACAAATTGTCATAAATTTAAACATTTTCCACTTTAAACATAGCTGAATTTCAGCATAAACATATTAAAACAGTTACTAGTACATTACCAGGCTTTCTGCACTAATTATAAAATAATCAGCCTCCTCCCTCGCTAATGCAAAAGCCCCAAAACTAAAAAAAGCCAAATTACCTGCATGACGAGTCGTTTCGCCTCGGCATCTTCCGGTTCCGGCACTTCCCACTTGGGCGTTGGCGGCATCACTTCCGCTAAAAAGCAGTTTTACCATCTTAATACCATTTCGTTGTGCAAAAAAAAAAATGTTAAAGCCTTCTCTGATATTCATTCTCTCGTGCAAAGATGCCAGTGTCATAAATCACCTCCGCAGAAAACGAAAATTTTATTAGCAGAGAAAAATAGAGAAAAAGAGAGACAGAGAGAGGCACTAGAGTGACAGCGCGGAATGCACAACCGAAATTTTATCGTGGGCTGGGAGCGAGCGAGCAGCAGCGGCAAAACGTGAGATGCGAGCGGGGGGGAGGGAGGCGACAACACACAAAAACTGTAAAGCTTTACAAAATTGGTATTACAGGGCGGGGGGCACAATTGAGCACATGGGCCGAAGGCAGAGCAGACAGAAAAAAACGGTAATGGGGAGGTGGAAATGGTAAATCACATGTTGAAGTCGGTGGCGGCCCGCGACGGCAGGCTTCAGTTCTCGTGGAAGGTGCGGCCGCTGAAAAATATGTTTCAAAAGTACTTTTAAACTTAAAAAAATTATTTACTATAAAAATTTATAAAATTTAGCTTCAGTTAAATGGTGCAAACACAATATTTTAAATGATTTAAATGCCCAAAACGTCGGTTTTCATTGTGAAAAGGAGCAGTTTTTAAAAAAAGTTCTATGTTGAAAAAAATGCATTTTCATCAGCAAAAAAGGATATTTTCGCACAGATTAACGATTTTTTTGCTCAAAGAGGGTTTTGAATTGTTAAAAATAGATATTTTCAACAGGCAAGGTTTTCGATTCTCCAAAAAAAGTAGGGTTTAATTGTTAAAATGGATAGTTTTGCAAAAATTCCAGTTTTAGATGCTCAAAAAAAGAGTCATAAGTCTGGAAAACCGCCACTTTCGTCTATCAAAAACGAACCTGTAGGTCTTCTTGTCGGCCTTGACCTCGGGGCGCGCCCTGTTCAGCACCTTCAAGAAGTAGTCGGCCTTCAGGCGCATTCGCGCGTGCAGATAAGCCTAAAAGAGAAAACCTTAGTTTTTCACAAAAAGATAATCGCCACCTTCGAGCACTTGATGTGGTAGTGGAGGTAGTTGCGGAACGTGTGGATCAGGTCGATCGTGTTGTCGCGGTTCTTCTTGTTTGTGTGCCGCGGGAACAGGACTGAAATAGAAAAAATAAGTTTGTACCCTAAAATAAGCCAAAAAATTTACAATTCGAGCCAAAAACGTACTAAAAGTAATGTAGGCCACATTGTCGCCGACGCGGGCTCCCGGCTGATCGCGCAGCTCGAGCGGCGGCTCGCCGAGCGAGTAGAGCACCGCGGGCGCCGTTTGCGAGGCCTTGCGCCCTTCGCGGAATTCCTGAAAACACATTATAGCCCAGGATCAAACCAACAATTAATCGTTTTGAGGTGAAAATTGTACGAGTTTTTCAGAGAGAATTAGCTCATTCGACAGAGTGCAAATTCTGAATCCAACCCAGCTTTCAAAAATGACCGCATGATGTTTTCGCATAAATTAGCTCTGCCGGGTCTGATTTTAAGCTGTTTTCATCGCGGATAACAACAAGCAAGCTTCCAGGCACGATTTCTCGAGCATGAAGTTGGGGTTCTTAGGAAGGATGCGATTTGTTCAGAATATTGAATCATCTAGAATAAGCTATGTCCCATTATACAACCTGAATCAGCCGAAAATCAAAATAGAAATCGGTCAATTTTAGATGGTATTTGTAGTGATTTTGCCATCAGACTTGGCGCATTCGACAGAGTCTGGAATTCTGAACAAACCAATCTTTCAAAAACTGCTAACGGAAACACGTAAAAAAACTAAACTCTTTTCGAGAAAATCAACTCTGAAACGATCGTTTTTGCCCCGTTTCCATCCCGTTTAACAAATAGAGAGTTTGCGCTTTTTCACGGGCAAGATAACAGTTTTTCGGCTTCAGAATACTAACCTATCTCGAATGAGCTATGTCGCATTGATCAATAATTCCTTTAGCACGTTAAAATAATTATTGTAGGCCGCATAAATATTCCAAAAGCCAAAAAAAAAACTAAACAAACCTGGAGGAACACCTTGCCAATGATCAGATCGTCCGGGTCCTTGAAAAGCGTCGAGAAGATGACGGTGACGCGGTCGGGCTTCGCCTCGATGTACATCGTCTCGTCCTCGCGGTAGTTGACGGTGGCGCGCTTCTGGCCTTCTTGGCCGGCCTCCTAAAACAAAAGAAAATTAGAATACTAAAACAACAATTGCCAACCTGGAACTCAAAGTACTTCTCGAAGACGGAGGCGAAGCAGTTGCGCTTCAGCATCGACGCTTTGCGCACGAGTTCTAAACGAAAAGATAAATCAAACTGAAAAATCTTACCTGAATAATCGTCCGGAATGGCGTCGAGGTCGTACTCGAGGGTCACGCTGTAATCCGGAACCGTTTTGGCGAGGTGGGCCCCGTATTCTCGGCGCAGAAGCTGGAAATAATTATTACGTTGAATACGCTATTCAAAAATCTTGTCAATAAGGAAAAACGTACCTCATCCGCACCGTGAGCCTGTAGTTCCTTGAAGTATTTCAGGGAGATGCTTAGCTATAACAAAAATTCATAAATATTTTCCTCAGTGATACCAAGATCTTCTTCTTGTCGTTGTCCGGGTTCTCCAGCTTGTACATGACGCCGTCAAAGTCGCAGAACGTCGTCAGAAGGCGTTGTGGAGGCTCGCTAAACGTTCAATTCTAAGAATATTTCAAAACTGACTAACCCAGCCTTCGCCGCCGCAAACTTCCGCTCCAGCGTCTCGGATATCATCATGTTCTTCTGCTCGAGGAGGATCATTTTTACCCTGAAAAAAAAGGTAATTTATCACGTTTTCGACGTCTAAAGCTATAGAAAGAGGATGTATAGTGGTATTACAACCCGCAGTCGTTCCGGTTGTATTTGCCAAAGGATTATTCACGATTGGTGGGGAAGGCACAGTGGAGGAGTGGACACTGGCGTAGTGTGTAGCCCAGCAAAGGATTAGCATATGGAAAATAAGAAAAAAGTTCTTTGCTAGCCTGCCCTTTCCTGAAGGATCCCTGCTAGCCTGCCCGTTCCTAAAGAACCTCTGCTGGCCTACCTTTTCCTAGACTCTGCTAGGCCGTATTTTCCTAAAGAAACTCGGCTAGGCTGTATTTTCCTAAAGAATCTCCGCTAGCCTGCCCCTTCCTGAAGTATCCCTGCTAGCCTGCCCTTGCCTAAAGGATCTCTGCTAGCCTGGACTTTCCTAAAAAATCGCTGATAGCCTGCCCATTTCCTAAGGAATCCCTGCTAGCCTGCACTTTCCTAAAGAATCTCTGCTAGTCTGCCCTAGCTAGCTAAAAAGCCTCTGCTACCGGAAACGACTTGCCATTTCCGGTCAATTAAACATAAAAATTTCGGGATATCACGTAAGGCGAAACTGCAAAAAATGACGTAATGATAACTTTCTAAAACTTTATTATCTCCAACAATTCAATGGAAGGTTAGTGGTAAAAATAGAAAAAAGGAAAGCCTTCGTTATTTCAATATTATAACAACACGCAAAAACTAGAAAACAAAATTAATTTGCGTTTTAAAGGGGGCAGTGAAGCGAGAGAGGAGGAATGGTAAAAATGGGGGATACACGTATCGTTCGAGAATATAGGGGGCTTTTTGAGAGTTATTTTGCAATAAATATCATTTCCGATATAAAGAAAAAGTAATAAATGACTTCTAGACAAGAAAAAAAACAAGAAAGACGTTTTAGCGCTTATTTTATAGAAAAAAACCACAATTAGGATTAGAAAATGGAGTGTACCGTGTGTAAACGTAATGTTTCGTAGCGCCTAGCTATTATATCGGTTGTTCTGGCCGAGACGACGAAGCGGCGGGATGGCCCATTCTTCTCGGGATTGTCGCGGCTGATGATCGGCCCTCGTTCCGATGTATTCTTCAACAATATCGATCGATCTGAACAAATATTTGTAGTTTATATTCTCCAGTATTTCTGCAAAAATTTGCCATTTTCTATATGTGATTCGGTTCTTTCCCATTAGCGGGGGGAGAACTAACTTTTTTCTTATGGTCCAATTTTTGAAATCTAAATAGCGGAAGTATTTCTAAACGGTTTTTTACTATTCCTATACGAAAAACCTTTACACATTTTTGTCAAAAAATCGATTTTTTTGAGCAAAAATGGCTGAGTTTTGACCAAAATTTCACCTTTTTCAAAATTTTGAAGGTTTTTAGATACTTTTCTAGTTAAAATAAGCTATATTTTGGTAAAAACACCAAGAAAATACTTCTTAAGAAGTTAGTAGACGTTTCTAGACTACAAAAATTGCCCCCCCCCGATACTGCCAAAGAACACGTCTACCTAGCAAAATTTTGGCTATCTCTATCTAGAAAACTTGTTTAAAAGGGATATTTTCACCTAAAATTGAGCATAACCGGCTGAAAAACCCATATTTTAGTCTTTTTAATAGATTTTTCTAAAGTTTATACGCTTATGCATAATAAAACTAAATAACCAGATTTTATTCTTTCTTTCGATTTTTTAGTTTATCCTACCTTATATAATTTGGTCGCGTATCTTTGTGTGTGTGTGTGTGTGTGTGTGTGTGTGTGCGGAGGTCAGTTTCGAGGCCAGATTTGAGGGCCTTCCCGTGTCCAAAACGCCCCGATTCTCCGCCACTTGGGGGAATCGACCTTCCTCTTTCCGATGGCGTTCTCAGAATTTCGATAAAAAAGAAGTTTACAAAGTTAAAGCCGGTTTTATTCATTTTTGGGGGTACCTGAGGGCTAATTTGCATAATGTGAAAAAATAGAAATTTCCTCATTCTTGCCAGTTGCACTCGCGAGTTTGGTCGGGGGCAGGGGGGTTCGTCGGACCCGAGCTATCGGAAAGTCAAATGTCTCATGCAAAGGCCGCATTCCAGCGCCCAAGGCCCGCGAAGCGGGTTTTGGGCGCTGGTTTAATTATAATTAAAGTACCTCTCGGAAGTCCGGGACAAATCCGAGCGATTTGACGACTCTGTGCAGTCGGTAACTCGCGACGGCACGCGATGGCAATGTTCATTTCCTCGTTTCCAGTATCTAAATGTAGGTTTTAAGCGTTTCTACACTTTCCCCAATTGTTTCTGCTAGCTAGCCGTTTTGAAATAAAATTTTATACCAATTTCCAAAACAAAAATACTCTATGAAAAACGGGTTTGAAATCTAGTTTTCGATATTTTCGCTTTTTCTCGAACGATGAAAGTCAATCTGCTTGAAAATTCCAAAATTTCCACAAAAAATCTCTGCCAGCATACCTTTTATACAAATTCCTGAGCAGCGTCAAGATGAAAAGGAAGGACAGCGTTGACACCAAGATTCCGGCCAGCAGCAGGGGGACGATGAGGGTGTTGTCGAAGCACAACTGCCGATGCGAGGCCCAGCTTACTGCAAATAAAATATTGCTAAATCGTTTTTTCCTATTCTTAAATGTAAAAACGTGACAAATTCATGAATCAATAAAAATAATATCAATTTTTTATCAAAATTACCGATTTTCAACGAAAATTTCGAATTTTTTAAGAATTTTCGAAATGTTTTATATGGTTTTTCCATTCGAAATATCGTAAAAACTTATTAAAAAGCGTTTTTCTGTTTCTTTTTACTAGTACTAAACGTAAAATTGCTACAAATTCTCATTAAAAATGCAAAAAATCAGATTTTGCGGGAAAAATTCAATTTTTTTTTTTGCTTTTTTGGATTGTTTTCCGCTTTCAATATAGTGAAATTTTACTAAAAACACTCATTATTATGTTAATAAGAATTACCGGACTTGTAGAAAAAAATAGGTTTCCTCCCCATCGATAATGTACAAGTACCGAATTGTTATTAGCGATTTTTAAACTAACAAAGTAGCTTCAAAAAACGAATTATCAAGGTAAAGAGTTACCTTCACTATCCTGTAGATTACTCAACGGCGCAGCGTCTGCTGACAAAAATTTGAGATCCGGCGAGACGACCTCGATGAAGCGGTCATCACTAAAAATATATTTTTCTAAAACCCGACCTCCCTACCGTAATCTCCGCTTGCTGAACGCGTTCGCCTCCATGCGGTGGTGGCTCTCGGCGTCGAGCGGCTCGCGCGAACGGTTCAGGAGCACGAAGGGTTGGGCGGTCGTCTGAAAATGCGAAAATTGGCTTTAAATTGCAAGTACTAAAAATTTTTTAGCTGAAATTTTGATCGAAAATCGGTCATTTTAGGCCGAAAATCGATATTTTTTGTAATTTTTAGCGAAAATGTGTAAAGTTTTTACGGTTAGGATAGTAAAGAAAAGTTTAGGAACATTTCTACTAAGTAGATTAGCAAAATTGACTCGTTAGGAACAAGTTTATTCCCCCCCCCAATAATGTGAAAGCTCCAAAAATACATATAGCGGCAGTTCGGCTCATTTGATTTTACTAAAATTATAAACTAAAAAATATTGGCAAAGTTTTCACGTTTAGATAGTAAACACCTCCGCAATTAAAATTAGAGAAAAGGGATGTTTAAACAAAAGTTGGTCCCCCCGTTAATGCCAGAGAACCTAAAATGCGTATGGGGCTTCCCAATGCCTTTAAAACAGCCAAAAACGCACATATAGCGGCCGTTCGGTGGTGTCGAACGGAATGGTCGGGTAGTGCTGCGTAGTTGTCGTGGTTTCGGGCTCTGTCCTTGTCGGTCGCATCCTAACACCGTGGTCTTCCGTCGAGTCGTCCTCCAACTAGGTTACGGTATATGGGGCGGTTATTAGGGGGTAATTGTCATACTGCTGAAATTTCAGAAAATCGCAGTTCATAATGTCGAAATTTCATAATGCCGAAATTCCTGACGTCGAAATTTCATAACCCAGCAATTTCAGGAATTCGAAATCTAAATATGCTAATTTTGCCGGTAAAAACCCCGTATCCTATGGGGAAAAAAGTCGACATTCTGAATTTCTGCATTATGAAATTCGAAGTCCGATTTTTTTGCCGAATTCGAAGTCCGGAATTCATAATGGCGAAATTTACATAAGCACATTTCCAGGAAAACTCCAATTTCTGTGCACCAATGTCGATTTCGAAATTTTGATTTTCGACATTATCAAATTTCGACTTTCGGCATTCGGATTTTCGAGACTACCTTAGAAAACGATATAAGGAAATGATACCGTTGGGCTTTCCTCCTTTCGACGTTCGAATGGGACACGAAGGAGTGGAGGTTCGGCGGCCATTGGCGGGATTGGGGGCAGTGGAGGGCCCGGCACTGGCACTGAAAAATAAATGTTTAAATTGCTTAAAAGTGAAAAAGACAAAAAAATTCGTAAGACTAAAACTAGAAAAACGGAGCTTTCGCATTATCGGGGGGGGGGATTTCCCTTAGAATTAAATTTTTGCTGAATAGATATCGGAAGCGTTTATAGACTGATTTTTGTTACCTCCAAACGCGAAAGCTTTACCAATTTAATAAAAAAAATATAGATTTTCAAGCGAAATTTAAAAGTTTCCTTAGTTTTTTTAGTTTTTACTTCTTGCAATCTAGTTAAATGCACGAAAACACTTTTAAAAGTTCGCAGGCATTTTTGGAAAGTTCTGAACTCTTACAAAAATCGCGCCCCGCCCCCCGCTCCCCCGATAATACGAAAGATCCAAAAACCGTTAAAGAGAGCCTTGAAGATGAAAAAAAATGCGAGAGTGAGAGCGACAGAGAGAGAGAGAGAGAGAGAGAGAGAGAGAGAGAGAAAGAGAGAGTGAGAGAAAGAGAGTAAAACCATTTACAGATATCAAAACAACTTAACCCTTACAATTGAAAGGATTGAAAATCTGTTTCTAGCTTCTGGAGTTTGACACTTATTTGAATTATCGTTTAAAGTCCAAAAAAGGGTAAAATTATGTGAAAATTGGAAATACTAGGAATAAAAAAAAGAATAATTTAACTTACCAAGGCCAAGGACAGCGACTTCCGGTGGTGGCAGGGCGGCGACGACCTGAAAAAAATGTTAGCTTCAGAAAAAACGGGGAAGACAATTTTTAAAGGGGGCTCCAACAGCTAAATTGTCACATTTGGCAACCGATTACGCTAGGCAATGCAAAATCCGTATCCCCCGGTTTTTTAAGAGTTTGCAAAAAACGCACCTGCGTCGGGACAGCGCCCGGATCGACGACGGAAGTCGGGACGAAGGAGCGGCCGCCGAGTTGAGGGCAATTTGGCGGCTAAAAATACAAGAATACAAAAACAAAAATACATTTACATAAAAAAATGAATAAAACAAAAAAAAACACAAAAACCTACCGTAACCCCCTGGCACTCGTTGAAGTCGAGCTCGCAGTGCTTGATCTGGCATTTGATGCTGAAAAAGGTGGCGGGTTTGAACCAATCTCTTTTTGCAGGTTTGAGGAAATATTTGAATTTAAAACCCTATAAATTATAAATTAGCAAAAATATAATGACTACAAAATAAAAAATCAATACTTGAATTCATCTAAAAAAAATTACAAAATTCACATCCAAATTAAAAAATGGCGCAAAAACTGGGTTCAAAAGTGTACTGGTTTGGTTAAAAATTCCAATGAAACAAAAATGATCTTAAAAAGTCGAAAAACTACCCTACGCTCCAGTTTACGTGACGCTAAAATGGAGGTTTTAAACGGGGCTAGCAAGGCTAAATGAAGTGATTTAGCGCTTTCCGATTCAAAACTACGCAAACGTACTATGCACGGTCCATGTCCCGGATGGAATAGGCGCGAACTTCCGCGTACGCCGTCAACAGGTCACTTTGGTAGACGAGCTGATGGAGGAACGGCACCTCGGGGCAACTGAAAAAAAACGTTAAATAAGGCTTGGAAAATCGGTTCCGCAAAGCGTCTCTGCTAGCACGCCCTAAGCATAATATAGAAAATGCCATAATCTTTAACATACCCCCTCGGATCGATCAACGGCACCGACGTGCCCCCGGCGTTGATAGTACAGGCGCGGACGAGCATTCCAAGGCGCCGGGTGGGGAACGGCTTGCAGTCCCAGCGGTAGAAGATCTTCTCTCCAACCGTCAACAGTTCCACGGGCGGACCGTCAAAAGTACCGCGGCGTACGCTAAAAAACGGCGTTTCTGCGTATAACAGCTTAATTTAAAACTCAAAAACTCGGATCTTTCGCGTTATCGGGGGAGGGCTTTTTTGCATAACTCTCGATATGTTTAGCAAATTAATAGGACTCGTTTAAATAGTATTTTTGATAAAAAATAACTCGTTCAATTAAAACTATGTAAAAACGTCTAAAAACGTTTTGAAAAAGTCGAAATTTTCCTCAAAAACGGCCATTTTTCGTCGAAAAATCGACATTTTATGACATTTTTAATAACGTTTTCAAAGCTTTCGCGCCTCAAAAAGTATAAAACCATTTAAAAACGCTTCCATTATTTATTTTTGCCAAATTAGATCTTAAGAAAAGGTTGGTTTTCACCCCCCGATAATGCACAAGAACCAGAAGTTTAAGTTTTTTAGTAAAAAAAATCTATATTCCAACTAAAAAAGTATCTAAAAACTTTTTTTCAGGTTTTGAAAAAGTCGAAATTTTGCTCTAAAACCTAATATTTTTGCATTTTTCATTAAATTTGTAAAGTTTTCACGTCTTAAAATCGTATAAAACCATTTGAAAACACTACCAATATTTATTTTTCAAAATCAGATCCCAAAAAAAGGTTAGTTCCCACCCCGATAATGCACAAGAACCAAAAACGCAAAAATAACCCGCAAAACGCACCTAAACGCGCACTCCGGGTTCAGCAGCGATCCCTGCTCGAGCAGCTCGGGCGGCCGGGTGCTAAAAGAAAACTACAAACCACACCAACATCCGAACCTGACGTCCATCTCGGCAGCCACCGTCGTGTCGGCCATCGCGTAGAAGCACCGCACCTGGAAGGAACGATCGATGGCCGTGCGGAAGATCGGGTGAAACGAGACGACGAACGTCAGCAAGAAGTTCACGCCCGTCATCTGGAAATGGGGATTAAAATTATTTTAATAGTGTAATTATATCTTAATTCGATAATTGCCCTTAACAATTTTGGTCGAAAATCGATTGATTTTGATATTTTTCATAATTTTTCATATAAATTCAATAATAATTAATTTTTTTCGGATCTTTCGCATTATCGGGGAGGGACAAATTCTTTTGGATAAGTCTAAAAATGCTGAGGAATTGAATAAGATGCCTTTTAATAAAGTTTTAAGTAATATTTACGTATATTTTCCTGAAAACGATAAAAAAAAACTAGAAAAATTTTTTAGTTTTAATTTGTTTGTAGATTTTATACAATTTTTTATAGTTTTTACGTTTAGGAATAGTAAGAACAGTTTAGAAACATTCCCCTATTTATTTTAGAAAAAGGATGGAACCTTAGAAAAAGTTGCCCCCACCCCCCCCCGATAATGCCAAAGAACCTGGTAATGGCTTAAAATCACGCACCTGACGTTCTCTTCTCATCCCACAATCGCCGAGCCGGATGGCAATCTGGGCCATTGGGCCCTCGTTGGCCCCGAATTCGACGCGACATGGCCGGATGCCCGATTGGCCGTCGACGTACAGGAGACCCCTGAAAAAAACAATTAAATTAACAATTTTTCGACCATCATTTTCGGCATTTCCGCCGCGAATTGCGCGTTGTGTACGTTTGTATTATCACAGGTTTTAGGAAGGAAAAAGCCGCTTTTCTCAAATCAGCGAAAAAAATTCCGATTTTTAACGATGCAAAATTGCGCCGCAAAACTGACTTTTGACCGGTTACAAACCCCTTCTAGAAATTCTTTCTGCTATTTTTTAATATATTTTTCTGGTATAAATAGTGAGAATGCTTCTTAATTGTTTTTTTTACATTCCTAAACTTTACAGATTTTTCATTAAAAAAAAATACAAATCATCGATTTTTCGACCAAAATGTCACCAAAAAATTTTCCCAAGTATTTTCGATTGTTTTTTTTTCGCTCAAAATAAATTGAATTTTGCTAAAAAAACCCATTAGAACACTTTGCCTTACTAGGAATTACCAGATTTATAGGAAAAAGGTTTTAGTCGAACGCTTTCTTGAAAAATCCATAGCCCAATTTCCCGTCGCGGTCCCTTTAGCCGTACCAATCCAGCTAAAAAAACGAAACACGCACCGGAAAGGCTTGGCCGTTTGTATCCGGAAAAGAATGACGTCCTCGTTGCACAGCAGCTGCGGCGGCGTCGTCACCTACAAGTTCAGAATAGCCGTCAACGACACGCTCCAATTTACCGCGTTGTCAAAATATTCGGCCGACATCTGGGCGGTGGCTAGAGAAGCCAGGTAGAAGAGGAGGAACAGCATTTCTGGAAATGTCAAATTTAATAAATTTGCAAACTTTTAAAAAGATATAATTAAATAAAAGCAGCCCCGTTCCGAAGTACAACTATGAACACCAGTTGATAGCGCGGATTTGTATAGGGCCGGAGGAATTAGCATAATCTACCCCCGAGGCGGCGAATGGTTCCCCCAGGCGAAATTCGGGAATTTATGCGCTGGGTTAGGCTTTCGCTTTTCAGTATTGTGAGACGGGAAAGGGTAGCTAGCAGAGATTCTTTGGGAAATGGGGAGGCTAGCAGAGATCCTTTAGCAAGGGCAAACTAGCAGGGATTCTTGAGGAAAAGTAGCTGTGTCGAGGAAGCGCTACCGTAAGCGCCAAAAAATTATTAGAGGTGAGGGAGGGAGAGAGAGAGAGAGAGAGAGAGAGAGAGAGAGAGAGAGAGAGAGAGCGAGGGAGAGCGAGGGAGAAAGAGAGAAAGAGTTAGAGAGAGAGCGTTAGAGACAGAGCGAGAGCGAGTAGGAGAAAGAGTGAGAGAGAGAGCGAGAGAGCGAGCGAGCGAGCGAGCGAAAGATGGCTAAATCCAGCAATTATCTCCAACCAAAAGCCCCCAATCGTTCAAAACCGCACAAAATAGAATGGTGCAGCTGGCAGGTGTGTTGTGTGGCTGTGATTTGTCTAACAGTAACAGGTGGGTGGGGTGGGGGGGATGGGCGGCCCTAAAGGGATGGGCCCACCCCCCGCTATATGCAAATAAGGGGCACAATTTGGTGGGATTTGTGCCCGGGATGGGGGTATGAATGGGGGGAGGTAAGCATTTGAATCGGTTCAGGGGTGGCGGACCCACCCCAACAATTGGCCAATCGCCAACTTTATTGGCCAACCGAGAGTTTGGGTTTGATATCCGGGTGGGCATCGGAAAGGTTGAATTCTAACCATAATCCCGACAGGAAAAATTTCGTCAGCTAAAACCCCGACATCCCAAAATTACATGACACCCCATTTTACATACGGAAATTCCGCCGTTTCCGAAGGTTTATCTTTTTAAAGGACCCTCGGAATCGAAGAACGGAGTTCGACCATTTTCGGCGTTTGGGAATTGAAAATCGCTTTTTGGGAATCGAGAAGCCAAACCAGCAACGATCATTTGTAAATTTGGGGCAACTAGCCGAGATCACTAGGGAAATCTCGTAGGTGAACTAGCATAGACTATTGGGGGAATAGAGGGTGACAGGCTAGCAGAAATCACTAGAGAAACGGGCTAGGTAGGCCAGCAGAGATCATTAGGGAATTCGGAGCGGTTAGCAGCGACAATTCGGGAATGAACCGGCAGGCTAGCAGAGCTCGTTTGGAGGCCGGGGTAGTCTAGCAGAATCGCTTGGTAAATCCGAGCATCTAGTAGAGAACATGCGATTCTATAAAGTCCAATCCCTAATCGATTGTAAAAACGGTTGCAGCTAAAGCCAGTGAAAGAGAGAGAGAGAGAGAGAGAGAGAGAGAGATACATAGATAGAGATGCCTTTCCCCCCCGGCTAATGGATTAGCACCAAAAGTTGCCCCCCCCCCGATAATGGGAAAGCACCCTTTATAGAAGTCACAACAAAATTCAGCCAAAACCCATTCTATAACTGAAAAGAACGAGATAGCGAGAGAAGAGAGAGAGTGAGAGAGAGACAGAGGAAGAGAGAGAGAGAGAGAACGAGAGCGAGATAGAGAGACCTTAAAAGACGCTAGCCACGCTCCGTAGTACTACTACAAATTCCGTGATGGCACAAAAGACGTGTGTGCGTGTGATTGGTATGCTTGGTGGCTGGGTGGCTGGGTGGGCGAAGGTGTAGTATATTATATTGGGGGATGAGGAAGGAATGTTTATTGGTGGTTCTCTATAAGGGGAAGGGAAGGAGGAGGGACCCTAGATTTGGTGTGTCTCCCCCCCCCCGCACCCTGTCTAGAGGTGTAGAACGGACTGCGGCGGGGGGGGGGGGGGTTGGCATGAGACAATGTGAGCTGTTTGCCGATCCCTTCAACGTTCCCTAAAGGGGGTACACACCTCACACGCACTCTCTATAAGGTAAAGACCCCCACCGGCTAAGTGGACTTACCCACCCACCCGCCAGCCAGCCCATACCATAACCACTTTCCGGGGCCACGGGCCGTGGGAATTTGGTGCGCGGATAAAGGAGTTCTTGTGCATTAACGAGGGGGGGCGGTTTCAAAACCTCAAAACACTATAAATTTTTCCAAAAATACAAAACATATCGATTTTCAACCAAAAATTCGATTTTTTGAAAGATTCTTCAAAGTTTTTAGATAGCTTTTCTAGTTCAATTGTAATTTTATTTTACTAAAAGCATGATGAAAATACTTACTATCACGTCACCAGGCATTTCTGGACTCTTAAAAGGATACGGTAAGCCGATGATGTTCGTCTTTTGTATCACCCCGTACCCGCCAGTTCTCAACCCTTTTTTATGCTTGGCTAAGGTCAACCGCATAGGAAACCCGGCGGGGCGTTACGGTAAAATTACAGGTATCGGAGAGCCCACGGGACGTTTTTAGGCTTAACAGAAGAAACTAGACGGAAAAGGGAATGAAGGTCAGTGCGTAGGGACACTCTTGGAGGTAAGAAAGAGAGCGAAAGATCGGCAAAAGTCATCTAGAAGTCTTCAAAATCCAGCGGCAAGCAAGCTATTTTTTTAGGAAAGGGCAGGCTAGCAGGGGTTCTTTAGGAAGGGGCCGCCTAGCGGAGATCCTGGGAAAAGGGCTAGCAGAGACTTTCAGGAGTCGTATGCAGGCCTCAGTAACCCGTAAACCATTTCCAACCGATCAGCACCACCCACATTTTTGTGGACTTCCGGTGCGCCCCCAGGCCAGCTGGCCCGATCCCTGGCCCCGCTAACCTGCATCCTACACCGGAGCCCATAAGGCAATTAGGGCTCTATGTTCTTTGCTAGATGGAGAGAGAGAGAGAGAGAGAGAGAGGGAGAGAACGCGAAAAAAATGAAACCCGAGAAGCCGACGCGACCCAAAAGGGGGGATGATACCCGGGTGGGCACGATAGCCTTACCGGTCATTATCTACCCGGGGGGAAGATCTCATTTGTGGGCCGACACGGCTGGCGGTCCCTTTAATTTTGTTGCTAGTTATTAGGGTAGTGAAAGAAATGAGAGTTCCGGTATCTCGTTTGTCCTAAAGGATCCCTGCTCGCCTGCCCTTTCCTAAAGAATCTCGGCTAGCCTGCCTTTTCCTAAAGAATCTCTGCTAGCGTGCCACCAGATCTGCTACGTCACTCCTAATGACGCACTTCGGCAAGTCGTGGACCTGTGCTCCACAAAAAAGCAAAAGCAAAAGTATTGCGGAGTACGGTAATAACTAAAACGCAAAAAAAATTCGTTCTTAAACTGTTTTTTTACTATTTCTACACGTAAAACGTCATAAAGCTTAACTAAAAAAATGCAAAAAAATATGATTTTAGATCAAAATGACAACCAAAAAATATACAAAAAAGTTTTTCTACTTAAAATTACGTTAAAGGGCTGCCGACGGCATATGTCGATCCCCCCCTCATCAACAAATTGGCAAGTAGCCAACAGGGCAGAGAGCGCGCCCCGGGGAGAGGCGCAGAGACATTTTCTTTCCAGCGCGTAACCGATTGACTATGCCGTCGGCATCCCTTTAAATTTTACTACAAATACGACTAAAATTACTGGCCTGTGCTAAAAATTGCTGGGCTGATAAAAGACTGGTTCTACCCCCGCCCCCCGATATTGCGAAAGCTCCAAAAAAAAGGTACGTTTAATGGAAAAACGGCTTAGAAAAATCTGGAACAAATCAATGGCAGGAAGCCGGGGATGGTGCCGTTGGTGGTAGTGGATTGGTGTGTGCCGTTGGCCGGTGGGAGGGGAGAAACGGAAACTGTCCGGCTGGTCCCGGGCACCAATTATCTGCCCGAATGAAGGGGGGAAGGGCACAGGTGGAGGTTGGGCCCCACACAACGGTGAGACCACCATTTTTTGTGAACCGAAAAACCGAACCGGAAGTGGCAAAAAACATACATATTCGCTACTGTTTGATCTCCTCCCATGCTTGATGAGCCTCAAAAGGCGACTTCTGCATCCGTATCGAGTCGTCGCCATTTTTTTGCCTGAAAAAAATTATATAGGCTGAATTTCCCTAGCGCCGAATTCCAATAATGCCGAATTTTGGTACTTGTGTGTTAGTGGGGGGGGGGGGTGTGGTTAGCAGGCGCAAACTAATTTCCTCCTAGTAATCCTGTACATCTCGATAAAAAATATAACCAACTTTATAGCATTTTACAGAGCTTTAGAAAGCAAAAATCGTAGAAAATTACGGAATTTTCGAAAATTCCTGACTTTTGCTACCTCATAATATCGACATGTTTGCAATTTGTTTATACATAAAAATTTCCTACAAATTATCAAAATTTTCGTAAATTTTCGACTTTCTGGTGTGTAAAAAATATAGCCAGTTTTTTATAACTTTCTAAGACTTCTAATAGATTTTTTGGAACTTTCTAGACATGAAAAACTGCTAAAAACGCTATGAAAATACACGATTTACCATTATAACAGGTAGGCATAGACCGAAAAATTTAGGTTACCCCTGATAATAGTCCAGTACCCGCATTCTCAATGCCGAACTTTCCTAATTCCGGATTGCGTTGTATTCCAGCATTATCAAAACTCGGCATTATAGCATTAAATCATACGTGTAAAAACAAAAACAAAATAATTACCTTATTACACGAACGCTGACAGGTCTTGGTCACATCAAGCTTTCTCCGGCTTCTTCGTCTGCTTCTTTCTGACGGGACGATTGCTGAAATCACTGTTTGATAGGAGTCTCCCGGTTTTCTTGGATTTTTGATTATCAGACTGCTTATTATTTTACCAGCACTTCATTTTCGTTGATACTTTTTTTATACGGTCCCGCACTGGTTTTTCGCATCGATAGCCATTTTTACGCAGAAAAATACAAAACTACCTAGTACGCCTCTAAAAATCGCCCCAGACTATAGGCTAATCCAGAATTTCGGAAATCACTATTCGGACGAAGACTATTTTTCTCTGGTTTTCTTGGATTTTTGACTTTTAGAAACCTTTTATTTCTACCAGAATTTAATTCTGACAAAGACTTTGTATAATTTTCCGCCCGGCGACACGCAACGCGCACGTCAGCGCCACGTTTTAACCCAACGCGCACACCTACGTCGCGGTTAACGTCTTCCGATACCTAGAAAATGCCGCGTGCGTTGCGTGTCGCGGTGCACAAAAAATCTAAGGTCATTTTTTATGCAGAAAAATTCACAGATAGCCTCGTACGCCTCTAAAAATCGCTCCACACTACCGTAGGCTAATCCCGAGCACCGCACTCGACCCGATGATCCCAAAATCTATGCGCTAAATCCGCTAAATGATGGTCCTCGTAAATCGAGGTGCTCCCGGGATTATTAATGGCCGGTACAGTCCTATAGGTAGGCACTAGAACTTTTCTCATTGACCCTGCAGGACCCCCGGGGCGGAGAGAGAAGAGGCCCATTGTATGTATTCATTCGCCGAAAGAGAAAAAGGAGGCTGTCCCGAGACACGCGCGCGACGCGCTGACCGCGCATAATGGGGCCCTAGGGTCACAGGCCGCCGGGGGGAAAAGAACTGCCATCCTTGTCTGTCTGTCTGTCTCGTCGCGTTCACGGTCACTCAAAGCCGCTAACGAGCACGAGATCCTGCGGGGGAGGTCGAGAACCATGGCTACCTGGTTCAAAAACACCCGTTTTTTCGCATTATCGGGGACCGGGAAAAAACTTTATTTTTAGTCGGAAAAATTTCCTAAAAACCTTTATAAACTTTTTAGGATCCGATATTTTGGTCGAAAAATCTATATTTTTAATTAATCCGCGAAAATTTGTAGAGTTTTTACATTTCGATAGTAAAAAAACAGTCGGAAACCCCTAAATCTAAATCTAATAATTTTGATAGCTACTAATAAATCAAATTATTTATGATAGTAATAATAAAAAATATTGGGACTGGACTGTTAGGAGGGGATACTAGTTTTTCCAAGTAATCCTGTACGGCTCTATAACGAAATAAATCGCAATTTTTTTGTAGCATTTTAAGCAGCTTTAGATATAAAAAGCCAGAAAAGTTATAGCATTTTCGTATATTTTTGGCTTTTTGGGCAACATTGTATGAAAAATGGCCAAAACAGGTAAGATTTTCGACGTTTATGAATTTTTAGCATTCAATCAAAAACTCTAAAATACATTGCAAATTTTCAACAGGCTTCAGCAGTTCAAACTCAAAAAACGCTGAAGAAAACAAAAATTAGTTACTACCCTGCTAACAGTTAAGTACCGCTATATTTTAGCATAAAGTTAAGGACCGAAAACTGCGAAATTTAAGAAAAGAACGCACCTTTTACTGCCTCTTCAATTGTCCAGCTTGTCGAGCTTGATCCACTCCAGATCCTCGTCCAACTTCTTCTTTTCTAGGAATACCTCTGCTACATTGAACGCAAATTCGACTGCCTGTTTTCCAAAATCAACGCCAAAATTTTATTGATCAACCAGTAAACAACAAAAGAAAAACACAAGAATCTAACACTACGAAACGACAAAAAGAGCGAAATATGCCTAATACCAATAAGTCTTTTGCGGTTTCCGTTCATCGTGGGCCCCGTGCGCCTTCGTGATCTCGTCCTCGAAGGAGGCCAGCTGCGGCTGGTAGGTGATCTTGAGCACCTCGTCGGCCGGAGTGTCCTTGTCGGCTTCTACAACAATTATGATTTTACAAATTAAAGAGACACTTACCAATATATTTGTCAATTTGTACATAGTCGTAGGTGACTTCTGCTTGGGCCGGGATCGGAATCTCATACCCGGTGCGGTCGGATATCCGGATCCATTCGTCGCCGTTGAGCTTCCAGCTGAAAAAAGGAGATGATTCCAGACGAAAAACTTTTCAAATCACAAAGAATAAGTTTTTCTAAAACGTTTTTTACTATTCCTAGTAAAAATGTTACAAATTTTTAACAAAAACTATCGATTTGTCGACCAAAGCTTTTACCTAAAATTTCTCCAAGTATTTTCAATTGTTTTTCCGCATGGAATATACGTAAACATTATTAAACATTTACTTTACTATTAATTTACTAGGCATTTATGGCCTGATAAGAAACAAGTCTACCCCGATAATTCGAAAAGCAAAACCTCTTCCTCACCTAGCAGTACATGGCTCGTTGTCATTCGGATCGACAAGTTGAACGTGCCCCTTTTCGACAGACAGCGCTTGTTCCGACCACCTCAAAAGAATCGTTTACCTTAATAAAATTTGTATTTACGTCAATTGCTGATCGACGCCCAGCCTCTCCGCATTCTCCTTCGACATCATATCCGTCAGCTTTGTGTGCAGACCATCGACGAACACCTAAAAACTAGATTTCCGTAGACAAGCTTTTCTCTACTTCATTAGTGTCCCGGCTGACACGGCAAATCGTGCCCTGCCTTCGCTTGTCCTTCCCGACTTTGACCTAAACAAAAAAATTATCGAACGTTCTAGGGTTCTTTGCCAATATCGGGGGGTGCCGGATTTTTCGTACATCCAGTTTTTCTATTCGAAAAAAGGAATTGTTTCTACATTGCTTTTTGCTATTCCTAAACGCACAAATTTCATCAAAAAATATAGATTTTTCGAGGACGGGTTGCGATCAAAACTGCCCCTCTTAATAAATTTTTGAAGTTTTTAAACAGTTTCCTGCTCAAAAAATTATTTATTTTATCAAAAACGCTCGCCATTGTTTTTAAACTAGTTGTAAACGTCAAAAAAAACGGTAAAAATTTGTTTACTTATATCCGAAAATATACATTTTCCTGAAAAATGACGAGTTTGGATCAAAACTGCAAAATATTGACTATTTGTTCTCTTTCAGATTTCTTTGCTTGCAATATACTTTAAGTTGATCAAAACGTTTGCTATTTCTTTTTCAACTAGTTGTAAATGTTAAACGTTAAAAATATCCAAAAATTTTTCGTCAAAAATTGCGGCTTTTCGATTAAAATCGCCAACCATTGCCATTTGCTGCTTGAAACATACTTAAATTTTGAGCAAAAGGCTAGCTATTATTGAGCTTATCGAAACATCCGTACCCCCCTATATTGCAAAAGCCCCCGGTCTCGATTCTCACATACCTCGACAATATCTCCCGGAAAGAACGTCCATTCTTGATCCGGCATCCGCTTCACCTTCGCCGGCTTGATCGCGTAGAACTTTCGCAGGACTCTAAAGCAACAGAATTGTCATAAGAAAACTAATATTACTTCTGCTTGTGGTACTCGTTCTGCTTCTTGATGGCGTCTCGCAGTTGGTCCTCCTCCCAGGGCCGCTGATTTGATGGTTTCACGTCGTCCGGGTGAACATTCCAACGAACAATGTCCGGCGCGCCGAACCTAAAAATGCAAGCTTTATAAATTCTTTCAAATAATCGGGGGCGCGCAGCTTTTTTCTAATAATCAAATTTTCTAACAGAAATTTAGCAAGTGTTTCTAAACTGTTTTTGCTAGTCTTTAACGTAAACTTCCCCATTTTTCATTAGCATTACAAAAAAATATCGATTTTTCGATTAGAAATGGCCGATTTTCGACCCAAATGTCAATTAAAATTTTATGAGTGTTATTGATTATCTTCCACTCGAAATATAGTGAAATTTTGCTAAAAACACTATGAAAAGACATTATTCCTAAACCCATCGAGGATACAATTTTAAATTGTCCCATCGACAGCAAAACGCACCTATCGCCCCACACTTTCTTCGGCACGGCTCGTTGGACGCGCTTCACGTACTCCTTGGGCATGTTCCGGGCATAGTCGAGCTCGGCGAACGGCTTTTTCGGAAGCCGTAAACAGCGACTGGCCCACATCTGTAAAAAAATTATGAAAACTGACTGAAAATCTACCAAATTAAACACGTTGGTTCTTTAGGGTTTCCAAGGGGAGGAATTTTTTGTTTTAGTCAGTTTCTAGAAATATTGAGCTGGATTTTAAATCAAAATAATTTAGAAAGGTTAGAAAAATGCTTTACAGAAAATCGCAAACCACAAAAAAACAGGAGACGTAAAGTCTAAAATTTCGGCGAAAGATTTTCTCCCTGCAAACACCAAAGAACTAACGCGTTTTCACTGATTCATCGCAATTTTTTGCTCTTAATTGCAATTCTCGGATATCCAATCGTCGCTGAACGATAAATAGCCAATACGGAAAATTTCACCGCCACAAAAAATTATTTATTCTACGCCAACAACAAAACTATCACAGTTCAACAGACCATGGTCAAACCAGGACGAGTTATGATGATTTGGGGGGAGGGTGATTATGCGTAATTTGTCATTGCATAGACCTGCCAAAAAAGTATGGCAAAATTGTTGGGTCCAGAGGGGGGTTGGAGGATAGCGAGAGCGAGAGGCAGGGAGAGAGAGAGTGAGAGAGAGTGAGAGAGCACGAGAGAGGGAGGGAAAGAATGAGAAACTATCACCGGGGAGCCCGTCATATAGGATGGCTTGAGAGAACGAGGAATATACAGGCAACGTGTTGGTCGAACCCAATGGGGGGATGAATCACAAACCGGAAAAAAAACACAAAGGCGTAAATTCGGGTGCTTGTTCTTTAGCGGGGGGGGGGGGGGAAGCTTACTTTACCCGGCCTAAACTCTTCTATAAAACCTAGACCATTTTTATCGTATTTTAAGTAGTTTTCGAATCCCCACAAGTTAAAAACGCTCTAAAAATTCAATTTTTTTAATATTTTGGGCCAAAAATGAACATTTAAAATTTTCGATAACTAATAAGTTACAAAAAAGGATCTTAAAAATAAATTTTTTGATGTTTCTGCCCCGAAAAGTCAAATTTTTCTTGCTGTTTTTATAACTTTCCTATTTAAAAAGCTATTAAAACGCCCCCCCGCTAACGAACCAGCCCCCAAATAAGCACACGCGGGCTGTATTTAATAAGGCAATAAATAAGTCACAAGGTGTGCATAATCTCTGTAAACGAGGACGATCGCGTGTGTGGTGGGAGCGCTGAGCTGAAGGTGATGAACTGGATCCCACAACCGAAAATACGTTAAAAAAACCATATAAGTTACCGGAATTCATAAGTAGTGCATAAAAGTGTGGTTTCTCGATTGGAGGCTTATCCCAGGCCGACGTCCATCGACATCATCACCACAAAGCCGATGATGCACGAGACGGAGGCCCATTTGGCGTTGCCGTTGCGCTGCGCCTCGGGGATAATGTCGTCAACCTGGAAAAGCGAAAATAGGTTATTTTTATGACTTTTTTTCTATTTAGTTCCCACTTATTCATTATTTATTCATTTCATTCATTATTCCTTTTCAGCGTCTTTTATTATTTAATTCATTTCTTTTCGCCTTTTCGACCAACCATTGTTAATTTTTATTTGGTTCTTTGGCATTATCGGGGGAGGGGATTTTTCTAAAATTCCAGAAAGTACAGGTAATGTAATAGTGATGAATGGTAAATTTAACGACATTTCAAACAAAAAAACCAACTACGGACCCTAAATCTCAAATTTTGGCCAAAAATCGATACATTCCATATTTTTTATCAAGATTTGTAACAATTTTTCGTTCAGGTGTAGGAAAAAGAGTTTAGAAACGCTTCCCTTATTTACGTTAGAAAAATTGGCGCCTATGGAAAAAAGTCGGCACCCAACCCCCTCTTTTTGATTTTTTCCCGAGCGTTTTTGTTTGAAAATGGCTGGAATTTGTTACACATTAAAATTTTCAAAAAAAAAAAACTAGAAATTATGAAGAAACTGATCGTTTTCCCATCGCTAAATAAAACCGTTTTTTTTGTTTTGAAAAGGCCCTTGATGAAGCCCTCGTGTTCCGCTCAAAACCTCACCACAACGTAAATCATGGCGCCGGCGGCGAAGGCGAGCGCGTACGGCAACACGGGCTCCATCATCACCACGAGGGCGGCGCCCATCAACGCGGCGATCGGCTCGACCATGCCCGACAGCTGGCCCCACCAAAAGGCCTTCCACTTGGAGCGCCCTAAAAAGGGAATAAATCGAGATAAGTTCGAAATTACCGAAAGCTGCCAGGGGGAGAGAAACGGCCAGCCCCTCGGGGAAATTCTGCAACCCTATTCCGAGGGCCAGGTTGAACGCGGTGTCGAACGTCGCCTTCTCACTTTTGCCCACCGATCCGAAGCCGACACCTGAAATGGTATTTGTAAAATGATGCTTTTCAACGTGCAAGTAAAGTAGCGCTAAAAAATACAAGAAAAATGGCGATACCGTGTTCGCGGGGAGCAAGACCAATTTTGGCAGTAGCCGATACCTTCCTAGTATAAAAAGGGTGATTCCGCATTGTTCGGGGATCAAATTTTACTTATATAACTAAGAGAAGTGTTACACCGCTTATTTTTACTTTTCCTAAACGTCAGAACTCTAGAAATTTTATCAAATCTAGATTTTCCTATAAAATTTTAGTAAAATAAAGAAATTTTTATCAAATCTAGATTTTTTGCAAAAACTCCAGAAAAAAACCTATTTTACCTAATTTGCCGCTTTCAATTTGAACTGTAGCTACATTTTACACTTTTTTCGCCATCTGGAAATCTGACGCTTTTGCCCAGCTCATTTTTTTTTAACAAAATCAAGATTTTTTTAACTGTTGTCATTTTATTAATTTTTCTGTCTGAAAAAGAGTGTGAAACGTTTGTATAGATCAAAATAGTTTAAACTTAATTTATTTACTAACAGCCACTAACTACTTACCAACAGCCAGCCCTTCCGGAATATTGTGGACGGTGACGGCCAACACGAGCAGCATAATTCTGCGCCAGCTTTGGCTCTAAGAAAAAAAATAAGTCATTAACCGGAAAAAAACCTTCATATCGTCGCTAATTGCATTCTCCGGAGCGACGACCGACGAACCGGCTCGATTCCTATCCAGCCCGACCTCGCGGTCTTCCAGCGGTTCGTGCCTCGCATTCCCTTTTCTAAAAACGAATCGTTTCTCTCCAGAAAAAAAGAGCATCGAAAAGCACAAAGGCCACAAACAAAACTAAGCAAGCGCTTTCTGGCGAATTCATTTCCAACTAAAGAACGAAAATATTAGAGAAGACAAAACCAAAATTGTAGCGTTTTTTGGGGGATCACCAGAAAGCTGAAAAGTCGATCTGCGACAGAGGGATGGACGCTCGCTTCCCCCCACCCAACACCTCGACACCAAAACGACACGGAGGTTTTTGGAAAAGTTATGGGAAAGGCCCACAAAAAGCCATCACCACCCGGAAAGTCTGTGTGAAAAGAGAAACGGCCTCGCCAAGCGGCAGGCCCGGAAAGTGCGGTGCTGTCGGTTCAAAATATATTTGAGATCTTAGAAACGAAACAGACGATTGTTTTTTACATCTAATAATTTAGCAGAGCCTTGCCTAATTTAGAAAATTTGGTTTTTTCGAGGAAACTAAAAACCTGGTCTAACAGAATAGAAGTAAATGTACGGGAGGGCGAAAAAATATGCGACAAGAATTCATCGTAGACGTCAAAATCGCAAAAACAGTAAATTTAGGCTCAAACTGCCGACAAAGAAAATCGTATTCTGAGCCTGAAAAATCACTTGCAAGTTTATTTTAAGAAATCCACGGGTTCTAAATGCTATATCCAAAAGCTTCAAAAAAAATCCTAAACGATAAAAAAGCAAAAAAAGATTTCTGGGGGTTTTTGCAGTAGTCTAATAATTTCGTAGACTGTTTTTTAGTTCAAAAGGAACTTTTGATTCTCAAAATGCTCGATTAGTCTCAACTAATTTTTAACGATTTCCGGCTTCTGCATGCCAGAGATGAAATCTACAAAAATCCCAAGCAAACGATAAAAACAGAAAAATTATTTTCTGATTAAGTTTTTAATTTATCTATATTTGCTGTTTATAATTTAGGGCATCTCTTGTTCGCATTTTGGCTTATTCCAAACCGTTTCTTTAAATTCAAGGCTCTACATGCCGTAGATGAAATCGCAAAAATTCCTCGTAAACGCCAACAGCAAAAAAAACCGCAAATTCAGCCCCACTAGCTGCCAAAAGGCTTCATTGAGGTGAATTCGGGGGGCCGTAATCGAGGGCCTGGGTGTGGTGAAAGCGCGTCTCGTATCGAACCTCTGCCTCAAATCGCCCGTAGCCAAGCGGGCCGACCGCCGCGGTTCAGCCGCCGCCGACTCGTACCCGTTGGCTGCCGCTGGCTCCTCGCCGTCGGCTCGTGCCACGAGCGAGAGCTGCGTCTCCGTCTGGTTCATGTGAAGAGACTCCATCAGGTGCTCCTCAGCCACCAGGCAACTAAAAAGCAATAATAAATTGGTAGATTCTCTAGTATTTCCAAGAGGGCGTACTTTTTCTTTCTGATATTTTTAATATATTGAAACTCCCGTTTTTTCCATATCATGGTGGTCCAATAATCGAACGCTAACTGCTTATATCGAGTTCCCTGCGTTTTAAGTATAAAAACATCTAAAACACTTTCAAAAAGGCTAGATTTTTGATAGAAAATGTACGAAAAAGACAGAAAATGAGCAAAAAGTCAAATTTTATAAGTTGTACGGATGTTTTTATAATTTCTAGCCATGGGAAATTATCTAAGACTGCAAAAATACAACTAGACAGGCGCAGGCAAAACAAGTGAGAGTTGGCTACTTTTCTAGCATAGTTTTTATGATTCTATGGTTTGGACAAGTTTTCCTAGTGAAATCTAGCTAATTTTACTAAAAAAACTATGAAAATCCTTTCTATAAGATTTATAGCATTTCGGAAGGGGCAGAAAAAGTTAACCCCCTTAGAAATAGTCGACGAAATCTACCTCGGCAACATCCGGTCGGCATAATGCACAAACACGGCGCCCAAGATAAAGCCGACGGCCACCGGGACGAAGGCGAACGATCCTAAATTTGGGATATCTCAAAAAAACGACCTTTTCACCCGCAGTCTCCTCGGCAATATCGATGGCCGGGGCCAGAAGCGACCAGAAAGAAGCTGCGATCATCACACCCGCCGCGAACCCGAGCGAACTATCTAAAATCCAAATTCTCGCATCATTTTAGAACGCTGCTCGTACCTAATAACTTTGTCGACTGCGTCCGGCTGATGAACACGACGCCCGCGCCGAGTGCCGTCACGCCCCATGTGAAAAGTGAGGCGAATAACGCCTAAATTTAGTTAAAAACAAACGAGAATTTCCCACCTGAAGTATCGGATGGTACCCGCGAATCATCGTTGCAGCCGCCTCGCTGGGCCCTGAAATCATGGGTTGATGGTGGAGCGAAAAGCCGGGAAGCGGGTCACGGAAAGGGAGGCGAACGTGTCATCATTCAGAGAAACAGCGGGTTGAGCAGCTTTTTTGAAGCTTGGAACAGGGAAGTCGGAGCAGCAAAAAAGCTTTTGAATATGCGGTAGCTCAATTTTTTGGAACGAAACAAGGAAGTTCGTGAATTTCGGGTGCCAAAAAATAAAAAATAAGTTTTTAATCGATTAGGCGTCGTAATTTGTGCAACTACGTAACTGTACAATTTACGGAAACCGTAATTTGGAATGATCGCAGCAAGGAAATTCGCCGGCGATTCTCGGGTTTCGGCTTTTTCGCATGCCGGTTTTGAAGTTGTAAAAAATCTTTATTTTTTAAATATTCGTTGAAATCTTTTTCAAGTGATTTCGCTCAAATCAGAATGAATGCAATGATCGGGCTTTACGGAATGACGACGGAAATCTCAGTGCCAGATTGGATTCCGGGTTTTATTAGAACGCCCTTTTCAAATATATTTTTATTTATAGAAAATGTCTGCGAAAAGAAGAGTTCCCGCAATGATAGACGCGTCCCGGGATGACCGGAATAGAATGAAGAAAACAAAAACAATCCCCGGTGCCAGCTCATCCGCCCTATCGACGATGATGAGCCAAGGAGACCCGGCGGACGTCTCGTACCGCCGCTGGCTGTGTGTGTGTTGCATAGTTGGGTGTGCACACGTTGTCCGGCGTACAGCCCCATCCCCACAACGTCCGCGTAATGAGCGGTGTGAGGGCCGCGTGAGCCGAGTAGCCGTGCATACCACCCATCCAATGTGGGGGGTACGGCGCCCCCACACACCGATCGCGGCGAAGATATTCGCAAAACCGATTCGCAGCCCGGCGAGACCGAGCTTTTCTCAATGAGGGTTATTTGGGTTTTTGGCTCCGGCGGATACTTAGTCACAAGGTGCTGCCATATATCTTTCGATAGGTTTCGTATAAGTTTGCTAAATTTGGTAGTTTTATCGCGTCAGTTTTGACGAAGGTTTTTGGACAATGATGTTGATGATCTGACAAACGCTAGCGCTTGATCAAAGTGCTTACCTTGGCCTGTCGTAAAATCCTTCTAAATGTCTTTCGATTAATTTCGTAAAGGTCGTTGCACAACTGCGAAACTTTATTACGTAAGTCGTGGCGTAGTTTTTTATATAACTTGATTGGCTCGTTGTTTGTGCGCGTCTTCGCTGAGAAATTTGAAACTTGAAAATCCCTAATTCCTTCCTAGCGTTTGGCTTGCCTTGATAGTTGGATGACGTCCGTCTGATCCTGCCGCTTTCCCTCAAACATCTGTCCTTCCAAAGTCATTGTGCCTTCATTACTCATTGTTCTGCAAACTTTTCTCGCATCAGTTTCGTTCCCCTTACGCGACCTAATCAATAGCTCTGGCCGCAACGCGGCCGGGAATTTCTCTGACTGGCAGCCCTACAGTTCTCAATGTGAATTTTGGTTTTCCTTTTCGGCGATCAGCTGGCAGCAGCCCATTAATATTTCTTTTGCAGCATGCAGCGGTGCAACTGCAGTGAAGAAGATTGTGACGCGGAACGCTTGTGGACCGATTTTGTCGCTGCCGCGACGAGCATCGCCCTTTTGCAACTGTAAGTTGCTTTTTGTGTTTTTGTAGTTGTTAGGATCGATATATTCACATTGTCTTTTTAGGCAACCCAGCCCAAAAGGCTTCCAATCGGCCGCCGCGGCGACTACGCTCCTCTACAAGAACAGTGTCGACAGCCACCGCAAAGCCTTCGATCGTGGATTCGAGGAGGGCCGCCGTTCGATTGCCAAGGTATACTATTGCCGGATTTCCGTTATAATCCCTGTATTAGGAACTCTACAACATGTACGGCGGAAAAATTGATGTCAAGCGACTCGTTGAGCTGCTACACAATGGCCCCGGCGGCGACAAGGACCATAGGCGGTATCGTTTTTCTCTATAAATTTGGATGATTTGATTTTTAGCAACAGCCCGGGCCGGCACAGCATTGTCAGCGGAGACGAAGAAGCCGCCCTGCAGTTTTTCATCCAGGTGCGTTTTTTGTGAAGCTTTTGGTGCTTTACGATTCCAGCATAAGTCTAGGTGTTGTTATCGAAATAGATGCGGTTTTTAAACATTCTTTTTTTACTAGTCGAGGGCAAAATAAAAGATTTTTCCGCGCTAAAATGACCAAAATTCCGTTTTTTTCTGAACTTCGCTTTTCGACGTTTAGCCTAAAAATTTTCGGCTTCGGATTTCTTTCCGCTTCAAATCTAGCTAAAATTTTGCTACAAATAATATAAGATTAAAACCATCCTATGTAAAAAAAATCAGTGAGAAACTCGAAACCTGCTAGAATTCCATTTTTCAGGCCCTCCCCGCCCTCGGCGGCTCCCCGGCCCGCGGCCAGACCGCCAACTCGTCGGAACTGAAGGGCTTCCTGACGTCCCAGCTCGCTCGAAGGAAACGCTCGCGGTCCCCGTCTTCCCCGTCGTCGCACGCCTTCAAGAAGACGCGCAAGATGTAGAAGACGCCCGCCCGTCGCCCAAGACTTATATAATAATTTGATCGCGCTTTCAAATTGTTGCTCGCTCTCGTAATTTAAATTCCGGTGTGCCTTTTCCGTTCCCCTGGTGTCGTCCCCGTTACGTTAAAGGAGGTGTAAATCGGGCACATCTACGTCGAAAATGTAAAGTAAATAACGAGCCCGCTTTCGTCTCCGTTTTAACTCTACAATCGATAGTTCACAAATTAGACAGGCGTGCCACACTACTGGGGGTCTTTTGATACGGTGTTGTTGCCGCTTGTAGGCTACTTGCTTTCCTTGGGAATTGCCTTGACTCGCGGGAGCCACCCTCCCTTTACTCTCTCTATCGCTTTGTAGTGTCCTTCTGAATCGTGGCACAGAAATCTTCTACTCAACTATTGCCTTCCCGCGTACGTGTACTTGCCCAGATCCATCTAGCCATTACTTCTCATCTACCGCCCCCCGCACACACCCATTCTCGTCAGCTTCTCTTGTTATTTATTTCCGTCCCCTAGCCCCCAAACAAACACACACATCTACATCGGCTTCTCAGGCCCTAACTTTGTTGCGGCTGCGCCATGGCCGTGAAAAAGTTATTCGCTCAGCTCGGGTCCCTGTGCACTTTTGTGTTGTCACCATCTATGTCGTCCTGCTACTCGATGTGCCTCTCATCGGAATAAAGCTGTATATATGGGATTCGACACCTCGGGGGGAAAGCAAAGACTATGAAGTCTACTGACAAAGCAACAAATGGCAATTTCAACTAAGAGAATTGCATCCGGAAATTTAGATGAAATATTCATCCATTCCGGCTCAGTTTTAGAGAGGTCCGCCTCCTTCTGTTCAGCATTTGTCGCTTCCACCGCGCCGAAGATGATGCACTTCATGATGCTCATCTCCTGCCAAGGCAAAATACGACTCCAGAAATGGTACAACTCGTACCCTGAAAAGGCAAGCATTTCTCTAACATCCAAAATATTTTGCTTTTAGCAAAAGAAGAAGATCATCCGCGACGTCACCACGCTGCTCTTCGCCCGCCAGTCAAACATGTGCGCCTTCATCGAGTACAAGGAGCTCAAGCTCGTCTACAAACGGTTTTTTGTCTAGATAATTGGGGTTAAAAAGCCGGCTCAGCTACGCGTCGCTGTACTTTTGCTGTGCCATCGAAGAGGGCGACAACGAGCTGATCACCCTGGAGCAGATTCAGCTCTACGTCGAGACGCTGGACCGGTACTTTGGAGCGGTGGGTTTTTGCTTGTTTTGGTTAAATTTTCTGTTTTTGTCTGTATTTTGCTTAGGATCCAGTTTTTTTGATGATTAGAAGAAGGGTTCCTAAACTGTGTTTTTTACTATTCCTATGCCTAAAAACTACAAAAATAGATTAAAATAGGCAAAAATAGCAACCTTGCGTGAAAAAATGCGATTTTCAAGCGGTTTTTAGATATTTTTTCTGGAATATGAGCAGAAATTCGGCTCCTCCTAGAATTACTAGCTCCATTCTGTTTATCCATTTTTTAATAAAATGATAGTAAAATAGTTTAAATAAGAAAATAGATTAAATGTGCAAAAATAGCAACGTTGCGCCAAAAAATGCGATTTTCAAGCGGTTGTTAAATTATGTGTTTAGGTCTGCGAGCTGGACGTCATCTTCAACTTTGAGAAGGCCTACTTCCTCCTCGACGAGTTTATGATGTGCGGCGAGGTTCAGGTACCGGGAATTGCCAGTTTTCACGTGAATTACTTTTTAAGGAGACCAGCAAGCTGCACATCCTCCAGCTCGTCCGGGCCCAGGATCTTCTCCAGGAGGTAGCCAATTGATTTTGTGTTGTGTTTTTTCTGGCCTTTTGAATGTTTTATGCGTTTCGCAATCTGACATTTTCCAGGACGAAGTCTCGATGGGCGTCTTCGAAGACCACGGGCTCGGATAATGGCCGAAAATGCCCCCCACTTAACCCGTTAAACAATTGCGATTATTTTACGAGTTGCTTACTACGCGTTTAATAAAGTTTTTGTTGCATTGGAATGGGTAAAGGCAGGGAATGTGTTCGGAAAAGTGCCCGAAAAATTATTGTTGTTTTGTTTGTTGGTATTTTGTTGCAAATGCTTTCTGCTAGTCGCCCTCTGGGTTCTTTTACGTCATCAGGGGGACCAACTTTTTCGAAAATAAATAGGGAAGTGTTTTTAAACTACGATTTTTTGTTATGCGTAAACTGCAAAGTTTCACCAAAAATACCAAAAATCCAGATTTTTTGACGAAAATTTGGCCTAAAAATTTCTATTCTTTTGCTGATTGCTTTTCAACTTAAAATATAGTTAGATTTTACTACAAACATTATTTAACAAACTTACTATTAGGTTACTAGACATGTCTGGCTTTAGAAACCCCCCCCCCGATAATGCGAAAGAACCCTAGTTTTTGTCACCTGCCCGCTGATATGAACTCTTTATTTGGCATCCAAAATATCACAATTGGGGGGTCGAGATTGAAGGGGGTGGAAGTGGAAGGCAAAACGCGCCATTTTCTGCAGAACCGTACCGCCGGAATAAATACAAGAATCGAAATAAGATTGATTAACTGGCAAGAGTTACTTGATTTTTGATCGTGGGCCAAAAGTGGGCTAGCCACAGCAGCTTATTTGCTCTTCTTCTTGGCCTCCCGCTTCTGGGCGCGCTGCTTCTCGCGGTCCTCCTTCTCCTGGATGTGCTTGTACAGCTTCAGGCCGACGAAGCCTGAAAAGTGGGGAGGTGAGTTAATAATCTTTGCGATTTTACTGTTTTTTTTAGGGCTAATGAAGACCCTAAAATTTGCCGGACGCTGTCGCTAGCTTCAGACTTACCGAGGACGGCGACGAGGACGATGGCCGGGATGATGAAGACTGAGTTGTCATAGGATTGGCCTGGAGAAGATACGATTAAAAGTTTGTTGTTTTGGGGCTTACCGAACGGCGACTTCGATCCAAGCTCCACCATTTTGCCGGGAGGACGCGGAAAATTACTGAAAAATTGGGGATCAGAATTACGAGGAGATTACTAGAAGCGGGGAGAAGCTTTGGAACTCAAGTGAATTTCATTCTAGCGCTAGTTTTTAGGGGGCTCTTCTTTTTTTGAATTTGTCCAGGTAGCGATGGGGAATTTTTACAGTTTTTTTTTGCGGTTTTGACGGTTTATTAGGAACTAAAAGCACGGAGAAGCTTTGGAGACCAAGTGAGCTTCCTTTTAGGGCTAGTTTTTCGAGATTTTGCTTATGAGAAATTGCTCCAGAAGCTTTCTTTTTGTAATACAAAGCCCTTCGGAAGCTTTTTTTGCCTAGAAATTGGCTCAGAAACTGCATTTCTATCGGACCTAGGTAAAGCTAGGTTTTTAAAAAATTTTTTAGGGCTTGAGAGGCGTAGTTTTTTAAAGAGAAGCGATAGTTAACTGCAAAAGAGGAACTAGCGTAGTTTTGGAATTGAGACCTTTGGTACCTGACAGTTCATAAGCTCAACCCCCCAGCCAACGCAGACCCCTCGCTGACCGGGCAGGTCGGCCGGGCTGGGGATACGGTGGCTGACGCACGTAATATGGGGACGCTAGCCTAGCCGGGCCCCGCATACTCTGTCGGTTTTAAAGGGACTTGGAAGGCAGAGAAAATGGCTGGGGCATTTGGTAGTCGTGATCCAGAGAATCGGGCCGCCAACTGGGTTAAAAATCGGCTTCCTGGCGCGCCGCAAGCCCGGGAAGCGGCTTAAAAAGCGTACACTTCTCGGTCAGATTTTGGAGCGCGCCGGAAAGGTATCGGTAAAGACGTAGAAGGCACTATACGCCGAAAATTAGGGATTATGGAAGTAGGTTGTAAGGCAACATATAGAATCCGAGCTTCTCCGGCAAAGCCCGGCTCCGAAATGGCCGCCGAGTTGGCAGCGGCCAGATAAGGGGCGACCGGACTGCCAATTTTGGCCTCGGCATCGATTCGCCGTCCATTTCCGCCTAGTACACCTGTAAAAAGGTGTCGAGCGTACCATGGATTTTCTATTTTTCGTGGTTTTGATATCGCTGGCTTCCGCGTCGACGGTGCTGAATGGGGCCGACAGGCAGGTATGGGACTGAAAATTTATATAACTTAATTTACGTTATTTAAATCATTTTAGATGTTTTTTTAGGTTTCTCGATTTATGACGATCGATTTGGACAGTAAACTGACGTGCTACTACGAGCCGCTCGAGCCGGGGATGAACGTCCGGTTAAATTTGAGGGTGGGGGTTTAGAGAAAAATAAAAACGAGCACGAGCTGTTGAGCACGAGCTAATTCTTCTAGACTTACCGCTCCGAGACGCACCAGCTTCAACTCCGCTTTTCGTCCCCGTCCGGCGAACTCTCGGATTGGCAGAGCGGGCAGGGCCTGGTTCATGCGTACTACAACGTCACCGAAATAGGTATCTAATTTATGCTTTTTCTTTTTATCAAAACTTAAGGTGATAAAAATACACTAAATTTTATGCGTAATACGTTAAACTATAGACGTTTCTAACACTTTGCAGGTGATTACGAGATCTGTATCCATTCGGCAACCCCAACGCGCGTCAGCTTGCACATTTACTTCTTCGACCCGGCCCACATCGAGGCCGAGCTCGCCAAATGGCTAGAGGAGCACGAGCTCTCTAATAATGTACAGGTACGTTTAGAGACCTATTACAAAACGTAGTTTAATTTCTTTAATCCGTTCCCTTTCAGGAAATTGTAAAAACCCTCGTCCACAACCTCTACAAAATCAAGTACGCCATAAAGTACTACAACCAAGTGACGGGCAGGGATCAGGAGATGCAGCAGAGGTCAGAAAATGTAGAAAAACAAAAAAAATCAATGTTATTTAGTAATTCCGACAATATTTCCAACTATTCGATAGCGTTCAGCTGCGTGGCCGTCATAATGGCTTTTGTGCAGGTATTTTAGGAGAGAGAGAGAGAGAGAGAGAGACAGAAGAGAGAGAGAGAGAGAGAGAGAGAGAGAGAGAGAGAAGAGATTTTAGGTATCTGTATAAATTTTTCATTTTTTTTAGGTCTACCTCGTTCGCCGCATGTTTTTCGTCGACCAGAAGCGGATAAGGATCTGATGCGCTTACAGAATTCCATGTGTTTTTTAAATTTCGATTTTTCCCATTCACGGGTAGATAATAAATGTTTGAAATTCCATTGTAACTCGACAGATTCTTACATGCAAATATTTTTGATAGAGAAATCTCTCTCTTTCTCTCTCTCTCTCTCTCTCTCTCTCTCTCTCTCTCGCTCTCTGTCTCTGTCCCTCTCTCTCTCTCTCTCTCTCTCTCTCTCTCTCTCCGCTTCTTTTCTTCTTAGCCTTTTCCGCTTTTTCTTGTTTAGTTCTCCATCCGACTGCAATTTTGAAGAGCGCTCCATCTAGCGGGCTTAATGTACTTAATTTTATTTATTTATCGTTTTCCGTTCCGTTTTCTCTTTCAGTTTTCACGTCTAAATTAGCTTTTTTAGTTGCCGTGCTCATCGTGCAGTTCCGACCGTGTTGCCCCGGGCGCGCTCAACACCACATCCAGAAGAACTTCAAGGTATTATTGTCTTATTTTCGATTCAACATTTTGTTGGTTCTAGGCCGCCAGCGACTCCTCGTACGCCAACGTGCCGCTCATCGCGTCCACCAGCTCGCAGTCGCCGGGGCCACTGCAGCCGATCAAGCTCGTCGCCAGGCCAAGGAGCAAAGAGGACGGTACTTTTGTTTAAAAAATCAACATTTAAAAAGCGTATTTCGTAGTAAGATATACTGTAGGTATGAGAAAGTCCTTTAAAGCTGCCAACTTTAAGAGAAAATGGGTAAAACAGGGAAAACTATACATTTTAAGCATCTGGGTAGGACGAAAATCGATATATAATTTCTATATAGCCTACCGCTATGCCTAAACTTTCAAATTTGGAATTTTTTTGCTAGGAAATCCATACAAGCTTAATATTATCGTAAATTTTACATACAAATCCATATAAACTCAATAAAAAGTGCATAAACCCCTTGGGGAATTACATCTATTATCATAAAAAATGAAAGATACTTAAACTACAAAATACGCACATAAAAAATATTTGCACGTAAATACAAAAAATATGCACAAAATTCGATTTTGGGGGGCGTAGGCGGGGGAAAAGCTAGATATAGTGTCTTCAAGAAGATTCAAGGGTGGTGCCAATTCTTCTGTAGTTCCGCAACTTTTCTTTGGAAACATCGTGCTTTATTGACTTAAACTGTCGCTTTACGGTTGCTATGGGTAGTAAATGTTTAGCAAAAGCTTGGTTTGATTTATCGATTATCGATAGTATATCCTTGTAGATAAGTCAGTGAATCAGTTAGGATATCGGTCTGGACGACCATCTCAGCCGGACATCACTCGCCCCCTCATTTCGACCCTCATAATTCATAGCCCATGGGATCTGAAAGAAACCTTCTTTTTGCACTGGGGGACCATCTAGAGAGATGTGGACCAATTTTATAAAATTGGGAGTTGATTGTTTCTTTAACGATGACAGAAATTGATTTTTTTTTGCTTAAATATAGCTATTTAAAAGTTTCAGAAGTAGGAAGTTAAAGTTACCCAGTTTTTATTTTGATAATAGTTCTTTGAAATTTTTAGTTTTGTCCTGTGCTTCCTAGCGAGCCATTTTTTCTATCTGCTAGGACAATAGCGGTAGGACAGTGGTTTATAGGTCTGCTAGGTAGTTTGTAGCTTGTCGCGCAGAAATATTCTTCTTTCTGGCGACCAATGCGAGGAGTGTGACTGACCTGGCTGAGTACACGACCTTCCGAGGGATAGTTTTGAGAAATGATGACGTTGATGCCCGCCGGATAGATATATTCTTTATCATCGTCATTATCGTCATCATCAGCATTATTATCATCGAGTCGGTACCGAGATCGTCGTCCAAAACCCGAATTCATTTGGTAGATCTTGAAATGGGGTGATAGTCGGAATCTCGAAATTTCGGAATCTCGAAATTTCGGAATCTCGAAATTTCGGAATCTCGAAATTTCCGAATCTCGAAATTTCTGAATCTCGAAATTTCGGAATCTCGAAATTTCGGATTCTCGAAATTCCGGAGATATTAGCAGATTCCTGGAAGCAAAACCATCATGTATCCAAATTTTTCAGATACAAATACAAGATTTCCGATAAAACGAAAAGTAGACCCCCTCTAACTCGACGGAGAAGCGTCGGATCGGGATGATAGTCATACCATTCGAAAGCCCTTGAAACGACGAGTTGATAAACACCTTTTTTCAGAGGGTCTACTTTTCGTTTTATCGGAAACCTTGTATTTGTATCTGAAAAATTTGGATACATGATAGTTTTGCTTCCAGGAATCTGCTAATATCTCCGGAATTTCGAGATTCCGCAATTTCGAGATTCCGAAATTTCGAGATTCAGAAATTTCGAGATTCCGAAATTTCGAGATTCCGAAATTTCGAGATTCCGAAATTTCGAGATTCCGAAATTTCGAGATTCCGACCCCTACCCCTTGAAATGGATAAATGATCTCTGCTAGGTTGTCGCTCTCTCTCTCTCTCGCTCTCTCTCTCTCCCTTGCCCTTGCCCTCACCCACCTGAATACTCTCTATTCTCTCGCTTTTCTCCAACCCCTCTATTATTTGTTCCATCATCACTTCATATTCATCAGTCAATACTTTCAGCGTCTCCTGAAATTCGGCAAACTAACAGAAATCGTTGGTGGAATGAAGACTAGACTGACTAGCAGCCAGATCCTGTAATATTAAAAAAATAGTTCCTGCGTAAAATATATAGCAAGGCAAACTAGCAGAGAGCATTTGTTTGGTGGTGTACCGATGGAAGTTGTCGGGTGGTGTAGATATCGAGAATGACGAGACGATGTCCCTCTCTCTTCGGAATGGCCTGGTTAAGATTAATGAATGATCTAGTAGAAACGAATTACGGCTTCGATGATGTGATGGATGAATTTTTGTAGGAAGCGAAAGGAATGAAGACAATCAGCCTTTTTCTGATAGACATGAGAGAAACGGAGGAGAGGACAGTCGATTAGCTGAAAAGGAAGATAGAATGGAGCACGAGAGAGAGAGAGAGAGCGAGAGAGAGACCTTCATGAATGCATCCGTGTAGACGTCTAAGTATTCTTCCGGAGTCAATTTGACGACGGAGAGTATAGCCTAGAATGGATCGATAATAAAGATTTTTTTATCGGTTAGAATACCTGATCAGGCGATGTTCCATCGGGTATCCAGCATCCCAGCCTCAGATAGCTAAATAGTATATATCTCTCTCCCTCTCTCCCTCTCAGTCTCCCGCTCTGTCTCTCTCTCTCTCTCTCTCTCTCTCTCTATCTCTGTCTCGCTCTCTCTTTGTCTCCCTCCACCCACCGCTCCTTTGAAAAGGTCTCGGGTCCAAACACGGGATAGATGACAAAATTGTGGTGTTGGAAGAGATGAGAGCGCTGTAGTTCCACAAGTCCTGGCGTTACAATCTGAAGCCAAGAGATAGAGGTCATCGCCTAAGCCTAAGTCTAAACCTAAGCTAAGCCTAAGCCTAAGTCTCTGCATCAGCATAAGCCGAAGCCCAAACTTAAGCCTAAGCCTAAGCTGACGCCTTGCAACCCAAAATGATAGAGTACCGTATCAGTGGGCCACAATCTGTAGTCGTAATCGATGAGAACACGACGACTTTTCATGTAACGAGTCAATCGATTGACCATTCCAATTCTCGCCATTCCACCCGCATCGTCGCTAAATGTGTCGTAATTACAATTGTAACCAATTAGACGGCGCATAGCCGTCCACTACATCTTTTGCTCTCTCTCTCTCTCTCTCTCTCTCTCTCTCTCTCTCTCGCTCTCTCTGACTGACCCAATTATTCTGAGACACAGCCCGCTGTATGATGTCAAATCTAACGACTTCTTTGCGTCGTCGAGCCGCGGCGGCTTGCCGAAATTCCTGCGATTCAAAATTGTGGAAATCCTCGCCGCCGAAATTCGTTTTTACGACTTACACGAAGCCAACGCCCGGGTAAATGATGTAATCTGGCTGTTGACTCAACAGCACCCTGATCGAGACCCATGGGCGAAGGTGGGCGTTATCGATGCGCATCAGCACCCCGCTGCGGAACCATCGCCCGCTTCGCTGCAACACGCAAGCATCCGGGGATTCAGCCCCAATTTTGAGCCTACCGGCCGAAAACTGTTGCGCCGATCGCGGATGCCGATCTCGATTTTGTCGTAGAAGCCGCCAAGAAGGAACGAGTCGATCGGGAATTCTGATGAAGAGAACAACTAGAAACAGGGCTGTGGCTGGCATGGTGAGCAGTATTGCGCGCGAGCGGTTCTGGTTCGTTAACGGGGGGGGGGGCGACTTTATCGGAGGAGCGGAAAGCTTAATGTTGTAGATTTTTCAATATTTCACTATTTTTTCGGAGGTTCTTTCCGATTCGCGGGCGTGGGGAAAGTATTCCCGGACTTTTTTTTGCGGCGCAAGCGTAAATTTTTTTATAAATAGTGGATGCGTTTCTAGATTGTTTTTAGCTATTTCTAAGCACAAAAACTATACAAATTTTAATTTTAAAAAATTAATTTTAGGTGGAAAAATTGATTTTTTTCCACCTAAATGGCCAAATTTTCGACTTTCCAAACTTTGTTCCAACCTTTTTCTATAGTTTTTCTACTTTCATTATAGCTAAAATCTACTAAAAACAATGTAAAAATACTTTATATTTGATTACTAGGCGAACCGGGACCGCTAGGAACAAAAATTGGTCCCCCCGCCGCGAATCGTAAAGGGGTGACGGCCAGTTCGCCTAAATCCACTTCGCCTAAATCCCATATCGCCTAAAACCCGTATCACCTAAACCCATTTCGCCTAAATTATTGACCGTTTGCACTGCTGCATTTTTGACCAAAAAATCACCATTTTTCGAAATACTTATAAGCGTTTTAGGATTTTCTAAACATAATTTTGCAAATTCCTTGTCAAAAACCACGTTATGAAGCCAGTTACATAGCTTTTAATGAAGAATTTCAAGGATTCTCTTTAAAATCATACGAAACCATTATAAAGATTTCGAAAATTTCCGACTTTTTGGTCAAAAATTTATATATGAAAATGACCAAAATTTAGGCGAAATGGGTTTAGGCGAAACGGGTTTTAGGCGATATGGGCTTTAGGCGAAATGGGCTTTAGGCGAAACGGGTTTTAGGCGATATGGGTTTAGGCGAGACGGATTTAGGCGAGACGGATTTAGGCGAAGTGACCGGAATTCTCGTAAAGAACCTTTTACGGAAGACATCATCGCGAGCCGGTAAAGCATAAAAAAATATACCCAGGTGGTTTAATTCTGGATCGGGGTTGAAGAACCGCTTCTTTTTCCATTCGTGCCGTAGCGTACCTTTGTAGCGGCGCGTAGCCGTAGTTTTGCCTCAAAGGTCGCGTGTGCATTGACGAGACGCCGCAGACGCCCGTTCAGTCTCGTGTACGCGAATCGTTGTCGAGTAGGGGGAGACGGTGAATCAGCGGCCCTGAATTAACGCCTTCAGGGCAACGCCGCTACGGATTACCCATTTCCGGCGTCGTCGCATTCGCGGAAGCGATAGTCAGCGCTTGGATGGCCTTGTTGCGCACCCATCTAAAGGGACATAGAAGACAGATTGCGCAACTATGCTGCGGAAGGCACGCTAGCAGAGACGATTGACGGAACGCAGAGCTTAGGCTTAGGCATATGCTTACGCGCTGACAGAGAATTTCGCGATTCAAAATTTCGGGATAGAAGTTGTGATTCCAGGTACGTAACGATTTTTGGGCGGGCAAACTAGCAGAGGCCATCTCGGGGAGAAACAGCACCGAAGTCCGATTTGGAAAGCAAAGAGCGCAATGTTGTTCTGGGGTCGTTTCAAATCGATTGCTGAGGGGGGGAGGTCGTTGAGCAGATGGATTGGTCATCGAGTAATTCGCACGCGAAACGCCCTCAGGGCCTTTACTCTCTATCTCTCGCTCTCTCTCTCTCTCTCTCGCTCTCTCTCCCGCACTCTCTCTCTCTCAACTCAATAAAAAGTGCATAAAACCATTGAAAATTACATTTATCCCATAAAAAGTGAAAGATACTTGATTTGATACATACACAGGAAAGCACGTAAATACAAAAAATATACACAAAATTTGCTTTTGGGGGGCGTGGGCGGGAAAGCTAGTTACAGTGTCTTCAAGAAGATTCAAGGGTGGGGCCGATCAACGGCGCGGAAAAACAGCAAAAAAGGGCTGAAATATTTAGCGATAAGTTGCCGTTAAGACTAGAGAAAGCGGCAGTGCTGTGCGTAGGACGTAGGGCGTAGGGCGCGCGTGACAACTAGTAGAAAACACTTCTATGTACAGTACTCTGCAAATGCGCGCGTGTGTCTTAGTTGATGTTATTGCATTTGCGGTCGTTGTTGCGGCCAGAGTTCAGCTTTCCGGCCTTTTTGCTGCGCTGCTTGCCTTTAAGATCGGAGCCCGGGTCGGCGGAGATTCGCTAAATTTAAGGTTTTATAGTTTTATCTCGTCTTAATTTTGGTAATGTAATTTTGGTTGAAAATCGGTTTTTTTGATAAAAGTTTGTAAAATTTTTGCAAGGCAGGGCAGGATAGCAGAGATGCTTTAGGAATGGGCAGGCTAGCAGAGAGTATTTTGGAAAGGGCAGGTTATCAGAGATTCTTTAGGAAAGGGCAGGCTAGCAGAGATTCTTTAGGAAAGGGCAGGCTAGCCGAGATTCTTTAGGAATGAGAAGGCTAGCGGAGATTTTTTGAGAATTCATCCTCACCTTGCAGCCAGCACTCGGCGCCGCCCGACCCTTCACCGCTTTCCCCCCAGATTGGTCATTCGATGCGGGTGTTTCGGCGAACAACTAAAAATGTGGTTTTTTAATTTGGAATCCAGCTTTAGTTTGGTGGCTTATGCTCTAAAGGGAGAGTGACACCTAAAAAAATTCAATTCCACTCACCGCTTCCGCCAATCGCAATCGTTGAATCGCGACCTCGCGCGCTTGCCGCGCCTCCGCGGCCCGTTTGGCGAACGCCTCGCTGGCGGTGAGCGCTAGAATGGGTCGATTAGGTGGGGGCAGGCTAGCAGGAAATTCTATGGAAAAAGGAGACTAGCTTTGAAACCCACCGCTTCGCTCGCTGGTCAGCGACAGCTCGTCGATATCTTGGATTTCGGCTCGGGGGACGAGCACCGGCGATGAGCGGCCGGATGAGAGCATTTCTGAAAATTTCCCAATAAACTCTGCTAGGTTGTCGTCAGGGTTTTTTGGGAGATTTAGCTAGTTTTGGTTTTGTTTTTAGTTTTTTTTTGGTTCCAGCCGATTTTCCAGGGTTCAAGTCTAATAGAAATATAGGAAATCTTTCGAATCCGTTTTTTACCATTTCTTTTTGTAAGTGTGAAAACCTACATTTTGATTAAAAAACGCTAAAATATCGTATTTTTTGCCAAATACGAACGATTTCTACCAAAATTTCAAGATTTTCCAGGTTTTTTCTACGTTACCTCTAATTAAATCTTACTAAAACCCTTTTTAAGCACTTTAAAAACAAAAAACGCCGTTTTTGGACCAAAAATGGCTTGCGGCGAAAATTTCGACTCAGAGTTTTTTCGGGCTTTTTATTGTTTTTTCCCTCATCAATATCGCTAAATTTTACTAAAAACGGTGTTAAAATAATAACTATTACTCCTAGGACTTTCTAGACTTATAGGACCCCCTCCCCCGATAATGCCAAAACACCCGCAACTTTAGGAATTGTTCCAATCCAATGCCAATCAACTTTTTTTCTTCCCTTTTGTGTAGAATTTCATGAAAAACAAGCGCACATCCGCGCCGGGCGCCCTCGCGGAACCCGGGGCCGAGGAGGAGGAGGAGAAGGAGGCCGATAGGCGGGTGGTGCTGACCAAACATTCCCATAGACACATACACACAATGCATCCGGTCAGAGGATGGATGGAAAGGGAAGGGAAGGGGATCCGCTTTCTAGCCCTCAGGGCACACACCTACCCCCCTTCAAATATTTGATCGTTCCGACCCAGGTGAAGGGCATTGATTTTAACGGGGGGGCAGGCGAGCAGAGATCGTTAGGGATCCCGAATTCCCAAAAGATTTCTGACGGATGGCCCTTCCTAAAGAATCTCTGCTAGCCTCCCCGTTTCCTAAAGAATTTCTGCTAGCCTACCCTTTCCTAAAGAATAGCTGCTAGCATGCCCTTCCGAAAGAATCTCTGCTGCCTGTCCCTCCATCCCCAAAGCTCCCTGCTATTTCTCACCTGCCCCAACCAGTTGCCAGTCGTCCTCGACGAGCTCCTTGCTGACGCACGGCGCCTCGTTTTCGCAGTTGTCCGTCGCCTGGAATGGCGTGGAATTAGGGGTGTACTGTACTGTACTCTACTGTATTTACAGTAATTTACGGCGCTCTACGGTTCTGTCGCCAGCCCTTTAACGGGCCGCGCAAGCATTCAGAAAGAATTTTACGCGCGCCTAGGATCGTGATCGATTACGCAATGTAACGCAACGCGCGGTTTAGCTGATTAGGTTACGTTACGCTATGGAACGATGAGCGTATGCGTTGCGTACGGCAAAATCAATAATGGAGCCAAATCTAAGACTTCAATTTTCCTTTAACCCCTCACCTCGGCGGCTCCGAAGAGGTATCCGTAGATTCCGTTGAGCATTTTGTGGGCTAAAGGCTGGGGGAAGGGTGAGGGCTGGGCACTGAAAAGGGTAGCGTAAAAATGTCGGATTTTTAGTTATCATAAAAAGAAAGCAAATGTAAAATAAAAGTATACGAAATGAGTGTTTTTGACGTTTTTACAACATCCAAAATGTCACGGTAGACGAGACAAATTTTGAGACAGATTAGAAAACAATGAAAAATTGTTTTTAGGGCAGTTTTAACGTTTTTTTTGGAAAGAAATCGATAAATTAATAGTCTTAAAAACCTAAAACGCTTCTAGCATCTTCTAAAACCTTGTGACCAGGCAAAATAAAGCGAATTGCGTCAAGAGCCGAGGGGGGGGGGGAGAGCTCGAATCCGGGCCCCGGGTCAATGGTTCGAGAGTCCTCGGTGTTGACCGTCGTTCTCCCTAGCGAAAAAAGCACAAAATAAAGAGAGCCGGTGGAAACTATGCGCGAGTGGGCATTGATTTTGTTATTTGGGAGTACGTTGGCAGATATTCTTTAGGAAAGGGCAGGCTAGCGTAGCTTCTTTAGGAAATGGGGAGGCTGGCAGAGATTCTTTAGGAAAGGTAGGCTATCAGAGATTCTTTAAGAAAGGGCAGGCTAGCAGCGATTCTTTAGGAAAAGGCAGGCTAGCAGAGATTCTTTAGGAAAGGGCAGGCTAGCAGCGATTCTTTAGGAAAAGGCAGGCTAGCAGAGATTCTGTAGGAAAGGGCAGGCTAGCAGAGATTCTTTAGGATAGGGCAGGCTAGCCGAGATTCTTTGTCATTTTTGTCAATATTTTCCCCAAAAATCGAAGTTTTGTCGAGTTTCTCAGGGTGGGGGCCACTGGGCCAAGAAGGGGAAGTTAAAATGGCGAACAGCTGGCCGCCGGGCGGACCATTGGAAAAGCAAAAAACAGAGTCGGAAAAATGATGGGTGGGTTTGGGATGGGAAAGCGGTCAGTTTCGTTAAAATTAGAAGTCAAACTTTTAGTTACTAAAAATTTCTAAAGACGTGCTTGAAGTAATAGATAATTTTAATATTAGTAAAATACTAATTAATAGATCAAAAAATTTAAAACTATTAAGGCTCATAATAAAACGTACGAAAAGATTGCTGTCGAATTTTCCTCACTTTTCAAGAGTGCAACCACATAGTTTTGGCGAGCATAACAACCGTCTGGGCGAGTCAGAGAGAGAGAGAGAGAGAGAGAGAGCGAGAGAGAGAGAGAGCGAGAGAGATATGATAGGTTAGAGATAGCTACAGTATTACCAGTTCCCAACTAACATGACGCGACACACCCAGGGCAGCTGACCAATAAAAAGACTCGACTCGAGGATTCGGCCCGATCTCGAGGCCAAAACAAGGGAGGTGTTTGTGTCTGGGGCTCTGCGTCTCTCCGTCTGCCCACTCTCTCGCTTTTGTTTGTTGCTAGGCAACTAGTGGAGTCCTAGTCAGTGGCGAAGGGGTTGCCGACTAAAGCACGGGGCAGGCTAGCATGGATTATTGGGCAATTTCGGAAGATAGAAAAACTGAGAATCCCTAAAAATTAAAGGAACTTGCAAGGCATCTGCAGCGATTTTCTAAGGATTCCGTCGCGCGATTTTTGGTCGAAAAAATTATATATTTTGGTTTTTTTTAATGAAGATTGGTAAAGTTTTTACCTTTAGGAATAGTAAAAACGTTTAGAAACACGTCCGCTATTCATATTTCAAAAATTGGATCCGCAAAAATTTTGTTCCCCCTGATAATGCCAAAGAACCAAAAATTACAACATACAGTAAGGCTTGATCTGGAGTTGCTAGAAGCGGTCACTAGGAAAGGGCAGGCTAGCAGAGATTCGTTAGGAAAGGGTCAGCAGAGATTCTTTAGGAGTAAAATATACTACGCTACAGAGTAAAATAAGCTACAAAACCAAAGGCAGACTAGCAAACACCCTTTGCGGATTTCTGGTGTGCCCAGCCGTGTCGCGTGACCAAAGAACACACAGAAAGGGTTCGAAGGGGGGTTGCCGATGGTGATGTAGCCCCCGGGGGTGTGCTATTCTTTTCCTTTAGTTGGTGGCTCCGCCCCCGATGGCTTGGGGCGGAGCGCGTGACCAAATGACCCCCTAGCCCCCAGCCCATGTCATCGACGTTTCGCCCCAAAAAATGGAAATTGCCCCCAGGGCCGCCAGGTGGGTGTTCACGCAAGACATCGAGTTGGAAAGCTTGCAACCAAAGAAATTGGAATTTTCGGTTCTTTCACATTATCGGGGGGGGGGACAATTTTTTCTAGAAATGCCTTGTAACTTAATAGAAAGTATTTTCCTAATTTTTTTAGTCAAAGAATGCTAAAAATCTTTGCTAGCATTCCCTTTCCTAAGTAATCGTTGCTAGCACCCCCCGATCAACCCAAAACTCAAGGTGTCCGACCGCCTTTAGCCATTGCATCAGCGGACGTTTGTCTGTGATGCTGGGAAGGTGCCAGATTGTTATGTCATTGGCCCACCCACACCCAGATACACGTGACCCCTTGACCCTTTAGAGATCTATGGGGGGCAGGGGCCCTGATCAGCCAGGGGGTGGTGGATTGTCGCCGAAATGTGGGCCCTTGGCACCCAGCCCTGAGGCTGCTTGCCAAGGCAGTGCTTAGCATGTCATTTGAGACCCATCCCACCGTACTATAGAGGGGGCATGGGTCACGGCAAAACATTGGCGGCTTTTATCTGGGGATGGGGGGAACAACGGACCCTGAATAAGCAAGCACCTAATCAAAGGGTCACAGAGCAGGGGAGGATATTCAAATCCGGCTCTCATTACAGTATTCATAATGTTTTTATCAAAATACAACGATTTTTCAACTAGAAAAGCATTCTAATACTTCAAAAAAATTTTTAGGCGAGATTTGTTTCGAATATTAGCGGTTAAGGCCCAAGAAATTATTATTACAGTATCCGGACCTTTCGCATTATCGAGGGGGGGGGGAACTTTTTGTATTAATCTAGAAATGTCTAGCAAATTTATAGTAAGCATTTTCAGAATGTTTTTAGTAAAATAAAACTATATTTGATTAAAACCATCCAAATGTTAAAAATTTTTAGGCAAGACTTGGTTCGAAAATCGGCAATTAAGGCCCAAAAACATTTTTTTTGTATTTTTTTAAGCAAAAATCTAGTTTGTACGCTGAGGAATAGCAAAAAAAAACATTTTAGAAACACTTCCGCCATTTGGATTTGAAAAATTCGGTCATCAGAAAAAGTTGTGACCCTCCCCCGATAATCGAAAGAACTCAATATAAGACTCTGTTAAAAATAGTCTAAAGGCGGCCAGAGTAAAAATTGGACAAGAATCTATCCTTTCTAACGTTCTGATTCTCTAAAGAAAGCCACGCAACAATGAATGGGCCCCGTATCACCCCTTCTGGCATGCCCCCCCCCATTTCGTCAACCGCCGCAATGTTACCCAAGCGTTACGCCATTTCGGGAAATTTACGGAAAATCGTTGAAAGGAGCTCTTTTGAAAATCAGCATTCAGAAACAGGCAGAAAAGGAACACAATTAACAGGTCTGAAAAATAGTAATAGTTAGAAATTCTGATTTCACAAAGTATTTAAAATGCACTGGCCGGTGCTTTTCTATTATCGGGGAGGCGACTTTTTCTTTAGGATCGGAATTTTCCAAATAGACCTTGAGGCGGGGTGTCTACACTTTTTATCTATTTCTAAGCGCAAAAACTTTACCTAGTTTCTTTAAAAAGTACGAAAAATATAGATTTTTCGACCAAAATATCGAAATTATCTAATTCCTGGGACAGTTTTCCACTTTAAATCTGGTTAAATTTTACTAAAAACTCTATTAAAACGCGCTTACTTTTACGTCACTAGGTTTTCTCGACTGTTGGGAGAAAACTAGATACCCCCCCGGATAATGCAAAAGAACCGAATGAGAGATAGGCTCAAAAGAAAACACAGGCCGAAAAATATAGACGAACTAGTTTAAAATGTTGAAGTTTTGATTTTTAAAAAGTTTAAAAATGTTTGTTAAAGGGTTTAAGACTGTTTTAAACGTTGCTAAAAGTTTCTCCTTGGCTTTCCTTGGCATACAATTCAATTACTAGATAAACAAACTTAAGCCCAACCCTAGCCGACAGCCCGAATATCCAAGAATGGACAGCACAGCTGGCTAGAAGGGGGGGACTAGCCAGCCAGCCGAGCCTAGGCAGACTGGTCCCTAATCCATGCGTACCCTGGACAAGACGCGTGATCGGCGCAGAATGAGAGACAGCAGAGATGCAGAGAAAAAGAAGAAAGCAGTCACGCACCCCATACACCCATCCATTCTAACCACGGGGGGGAGGGGAAGCAGTCGATTCTGGACCCCCGAGGGGGTACCTCCCTTCGAACACCAGAGCCCCCATTTGGGCATCGATCGCTGCCGGAAATGGTGCCTTGGTGCTAGCGAATCGGGTTTCTTTCGAAACGTCGAAAACCATAGTGTCGAAATTCAGAACGGCCAAATTTCAAAATACCGAAATTCAGAATGTCGGCATTTCATATTGCCGAAATTTCATGATACAGAAGTATCATAATGTCGAGATTTTGAATGTCGAAATTTCATAAAGTCTAAATTTAGAACGTCGGCATTTCAAATTGTCGAATTTCGTTTCATATGTCAGGGTATAGAAATGTCATAATGTCAAAATTTCAAGTTGCCGAAACTCAGAATGTCGGCATTTACATCGGCTAATTTTCCCGGAAAACCCCCGAATCCTATGCCAAAAAAAAAATCCCAATTTCGACATTTTTAATTTCGACATTATGCTAGCAAATCAGCGAATAGTAATGGACTTTCTAGTTTAAAAAAGTATAGAAATCAAGGTTATTTCTCATTATCGGACGGGGAGCATACTTTTTTTCATTGGTTGAAATTTTCAAATTTCTCAAAGAGTATCATTTCCACTCTAAAAATTAGGCTAGAACCCAAATCGTCAAACATCAAAATTATCAAAGCTGCAAACTACAATACTACAATATT